CACCGCTCAAGTTAATTTGGAGAATGTAAGTCAAACAGTTCCTGGCGAACCCTCCACATCCAAACCCTTACGCAAAGTGCTGCTTCCAACACCTCCGACTACGTGTTTTCAGCCTAATTTCTCCACATCAAATGACAGTCAGTCTTTGCAAGATATGCACCAAGTACCATGGTCAAATGAGCCAAAGGAAGGAATAGGAAGAGATTCTTTTTCAAATGCAATGTTTACTTCTCAGGATAATGCAGGTGGTCACTATGAACCCGAGAGAGGTCTGTCTTCACTGCAGTATGAAGAACAAAGAAACCCTCAGCCTCATCAATTTGTGGAACAAACTGAGTCTACATCAATTCAGGGTGAGGGTGGCCCTCTCCCACAGCACTTTGAGGAAAACAGACTTCCATTTTCTTTGTCTGGGCAGAAAGGAGGACCTCCACAACCGCCAATACACAGTGCACCTGGAGGACCTCACGGACCTAACTTTAGAGGGCCGGCACCACAGTTCTCAGAAGAGCACGGTTCTCCAAACAGTGATGGGCAAAGAGGATCTGCCCCTGGAAGATTTGGAGGTCAGAAGGGTCCCATCCCTTCCTTATTTTCTTCACAGCATGGATCTCCGCTTTTTGGTGATAATAGGGGCCCTGCCCCATCTTACGGTGTTCCAAGAGGAATGTCGCCATCTCAGTTTGAAGATCACATGGAACCTCACATGGAACAAAGGGAATTCTCAGATTCCCAATACAATGAGATGATTAGGCCTCCAGGACCATTTGAAGGATCTGATCAAGCTCAGTTTATGGGAAACAGAGGACCTTTTCCTTTTGGAGGTCAAAGACGACCTCCACCAGCTCAGTTTAAGGGACAGAGAGGAGGCCCTCAGTTTGGAGGGCCAAGAGGTCCGGCCCCTAGTCATTTTGGGGGACCAAGAGGGCCTCACACAAATCAATTTGAAGGGCAAAGAGGTCCACCTCCGAATCACGGACCTGGCCCAAGAGGACTTTTGCCACAGCCATTTGAAGAACGGAGAGGGAGTCCCCCTCCCAGATTTGCCAACCAGAGAGGTCCAGCACCACCTCAGTACGGAGGACCAAGAGGACCCTCGCCTGCAATGTTTCCAGAGCAAAATGAACCTCCTTCTAGATTTCATTTCCAAGGTCAGTCACAGCAAAGTATGAAGTCAACCCCAAGACCACTCCTAGACCTTCCAGGCCATCTGTCAGCCCACAGAAAAGACATGTGGGAGGAGGCTGGACCGTCTGCATCTCTTTCCAATGTTTCTGGACAAGGGCATGAGTCAGAAGGACAGTGGTCAGCACCTGACTTCCGAGAAGGCAAAAATATTGAATATAGAGGCCAGACATTTGAAGGGAGGCAGAGAGACAGATACGAGGGAGGAAATAAAGACAAGGGTTTAGATCAGCCAGAGCCTCAGCAAGCTGATAATCGCCAAGGTAGACCGTTTGAGGAAAGACGAAGGGATCGTGAACATGGCAGACCTTGGGAAAGAGACCGTGGCAGAAACTGGAACAGAGACAGGGACTGGGAGAGACACAGGGACAAGGAATGGGATAAAAACAGAGACAGAAACCAAAACAAAGATAGAGAGAAAGATTCCGAGCATGCTAAGGACTGGGAAAGAAGCAGAGACCGAGACAGAGCCAGAACCAGAGACAGAGAATCCTACAGAAGACGTGACAGGGAGAGATCAAGGAGCAGAGACAGAGATCGTGACAGAGATAAAGACAGGGACCGGGATCGAAGCAGGGAAAAAGAAAGAGATCGAGAGAGAGATCGGGATCGTGAGAGAGGAAGAGATCGGAAAGATCGGAGCAAAACCAGGGACACTGGTAAAGAAGCAAAGCCAGAAACACCTAAGGAAAGCCAGAAACCAACAGAGGCAGAAGCTTCATCGTCCACTGCTCAGTCGTAGAAATATGGCTGCTACTGTATTTTCCCTAAATAAGACACTTTTACAACATAGCAAGGACCGAGTCAGTGTCTTCTGTATATACTGTATATTCTCACCTTTGCAAAAGTGCTGTTGTAAATCTAGCCTTATACAATGTACTGACAAATTAGTAATTTTTGAAGAACTGTGAATGAAAATACTCGAAGACGTAAACGGCAAGAACATACTGGACTTTCACTTGCTGCATTTTGTGCATAACGTTTTTATTATAAAAATTCACAGCGTTACCTGTTCTGAAATTTTGTTTTTTTCTACTCGCATCTTTATCTTAAAATTTCCATTTACGGTACAGAAATGGGAAAAGTCTAAGAAGAGCATATTGCTTTTTAAAATTATAAAGTTATGTTTTCCAGTAACTTGAATTGTAATTTTATAAGAGAATTTAATCAAAATCCTAGGAGCCATACCTTTACATCTCATTTGTGTGGTATTTTGATGTCCAAGTTGTTCCTACAGCACACGCTTTAAAAAAGGAGTCCAATATTGCTGTCTTTCTTTACAATGCAATGATTGTGTGTTTAGGAAAAGGCTGCAGAAGAACAGTGTTATTATTTGACAGAGGATTTGGAAATGGAATGTTATAAGCTTAAAGTGCACTATTTTCCTTTCTCTATACAGTTATTTTGTGCTTTGAAATCCATCTGTTAAGTGTACAACAAAGAAGCAATTCATACTTTTCACGAGGGTGAGGAGTTTTAAATCCCACATATTTACAAACCCGTAATTAAAGAGCATATATGAGTAGCACCTTTATAACCAGCGAAACGTTTTAAAAACACCAAGATCTATTGGCAAAAGATCAAGTCTACAAAAGAATGGGGATACCAAAGGGATGAAAAATAACTTTATTGAACTGATGAACTGATTTACGTGAGGCATTTTGGGGGTTTTGTTTTCTTTTGGCAGAAAACTGCCAGAGATTTAAGAAGTGTCACCGCTTTCCTCTACTTTTCACTCTAAAAGTGTGAAAAAAAGTGCTCCTGAAAAAAAACCCCACCAAAATGCCCCTGTTTTTGTCATTCTGCTCATTCTGGCACTGTATATAAGACTGTCCAATGAAAATGGTCTAAATGCATTAAGCTTGGAAAGATTGGTAACACCTGATGTCATGATTCAAGGGGGAAAGTCCTTACTGTGAAATACATTACACAGCTACTTTTCATGTATTCTTCAAGTACGTAATTCTGAAGTATGAAATAAGAAAACCCCGTTATTTACAATTTGACTACATAAATTAACAGTTGCTTAAGTATTTTCGTATTTTTATAAAATAGTTTTGAAAAAGGTAAAATTAGATTCCTACAAATACTTGCACCTTGAATTCTACATTACAAGTAGCATCCATGTCATGTATCTCACCATAGGTTATAAGGTTCATATTGGTGTGTCTTACAAGTCCTCACACATCACGGGTTTGCTGGTTGGAATGATTGCAAAATGAACCTGTAAACAACACGTTAACATGCAGAGAGGTGTTATTAAATACAAACATCTACTATGGTGTAAGATTTTTTCTTAATGAGATGTTTCTAATTTAAAGACATACATAAAAGTATGCAAAAAGCAAGTGTGTTTGTTTAGGTTTACTTGATAGAAATTTCTGTAAATTGTATTTTATATGGCAAAATATAGCACTGTACATTAAGACATGGGAGTTCACAGGTTTTTGTTACTGTAAGTAGAATAAACATCTACAGCTAAATTTTGTCTCTGAGGCATGCCTGTGTCCGTCATTTCCTACTGATCTCTGGTACCTTTCAGCAAGCCCAGAGGGTCACCACAAGAGGCTGATGGCCCACAGGTTTCATTTCCACCCCAAAAGATGAAATTTTGCAGGATGCCACCATTATTAATTGATATTTATATGTAGCTGTTCCAAAAGTTGCATAAAAGTTTGTTCTTAGGATTTATTCTGGTTTATTTTGAAGTTTTTTGTTATCTGAATTGGGACAAAATACCCTCAACTGAGCTCTGAGCAGTGTGAGCTGAAGGATCGACATGTCCACAAAAGGTTGCATTGTGCTCTGTGCAACTACGGCAGGGTTAGAAGGGAGAGGGGAAGGAATATAGAGCCCAGCATGTGCACAACTGCTGTCAGCATTTCTGATTTCCTTTCTAGAGGTGACAGATGCACTTTCTGGATTGGCCTTTACCATAGAAAATACCCACGTGTGCTGTTACCGTCATTGGTGCACAGCAAAGGAAGGTAGGGAAAAGGTCTGTTTTCACAGAATCACAGCAGTAGCCCAGGTTGGAACGGACCTCAAGGATCACGAATCTCCAACCCCCTGCCACACGCAGGGCCACCAACCTCCCCATTTCATAGCAGACCAGGCTGCCCAGGGCCCCAACGTCTGGCCTCAAACACCTTCATGGCCGGACGGGGCATCCACAGCCTCTGTGGCAGCTGTTCCAGCACCTCACCACTCTCATAGTAAAGCAAATTTTCTGAACCTCCTGAAGGGAGACTGTATGAAGGCTTCCGTACAGCGTGGATCTCTACATTCTATTCATGGGCTAAAATAGTACTTCTGTGCCTGTGACTCCGACTTGTTTCTGGAGCCTGTCACAACAGCATGTGTTTTTAGTACTGCAGTACAGGGCCACGAGCAGAGCCGTGACAGACACTGACACACGAACGCACGGCGCTGCCATGGAAAGAACGACTCCGTGCGGGCGCCTCTGGGCGGGCAGCGCCGGCACCGCGCACTCATCCGCACGGCGGGGCGGTTGGCGAGGCGCAGCGCGCATGCGCGAGACGGGCGGTTGCGCGCGGCGGTTGGCGGCGGCCCGTGCCGCGCGTGCGGCGCAGGCGGGTTTGGCCGCTGCCGTCCGACCCGTGAGCGATAGGGCGGGACGGGGGGGCGGCGGAGGCGGCGCTCCGCTTCCCCTTCAGAGCGCGGGGGGTGAGGGTCCGCCGCCCTTCGGCCGTAGGCGGCTCCGCGGCTCCCCGGGTTGCTGGCGTGGGGGCTCGGCTGAGGGAGCCGAGCGGAGCGGAGCAGGTGAAGGGCGTTTCGGCGGTGCGCGGGAGGGGAGGGCCGAGCCGCCGCCTCGCGTGGTGCGCCGCGTGCCGGGCGTTGCCCCGCGGCCGTCGGACGGCGGCGGGTTCGGTGGTTGAGAGAGCGGGACGGACGCGGCTCTGTCGGGTAGGCGCGCCATGGCGGGGCCCGGCCCGCAGCCTGGAGCGGACGCGGCATTCGGCGAGCAGAGCTTCGGCTTCGCTGCCGCGGAGCTCAGCCTGGTGGAGATGGCGGACGTGGAGTACGGCCAGCTGCAGCACGCGCTGTACGCGCAAGCGGAGCCGCGGGCCGCCGAAGGCGAGGCCGAAGCCGGGCCCGACGCTGCGGTTCCCCCGGACGAGGGCTGCGCCTCCCGCGGCCCCGCCGGCCCGCCCGCTTTCCCTGGCCTGTGCCAGGCGGGAGTGACCGCCGACGGCGGCGCGCCCGGTTCGAACCCCTGCGTGGGGCACGCGGACTTCCAGGAGCGCAGGATGATGTTGCTCGGTGAGGTGAACCCCCCTGCCGGCCAAGCGGACAAAACGCCCAAGGGTGGCTCCGAGGAAGTCTCGGGGTGCGGCTTGTTGAGGGCGAAACACGGTGAGAGCTTTGCTGGGGTGAGCAAAGGGAGCGTAGTGGTTGAGCGTGTGGCGATGGCAGCCGAGCCCAGATCGAAATCTGCAGTCAGAGTTCGATTGGAGGACACGTTGAACGGCGTCCAGACAGAAAGTCCCAGATGCCAAGAACCCCAAGAATCTGGAGTGACTCTTAACAAGTGTGTTGTGCTTAATTTCAGTTTCTGTCGTTAAGCTATGTATTTTCATAGAGTTTGAACTGTTTTTCCGAAGTAAACCTACGGTGGGTCCTTTAATACACACGATGTTATCGTAAGTGGCACTTTTCTAATCTGTGGCATTCCCACGTGGCTGCAGCTGCTCTCTCCCCTCCTGTGTATCGCATCAGTGGCACAGAATGTCATCACAAAATTAATGACCTTACAACTTTATTATTGATAACAAGCTGTGATTTAAGTAAAGGTGAGAGAAGAGTTGCCTGGTTTTGCAACTTAAAGCAAGGCAGCTTCTTGATCCTAACAAAATAATGTGGGGCAGTTGGTTATTGTAATGAATGATACAACTTAGAGGCTTGGCTATGATAAACACTTTGGGTGGAAGTCTTATACACTGTGAACACTTTGGCCTTGTAACTGTATCAGTGTTCTGCTAAGCATTTCCTTGAGGCTATTGCGGCGCTGAATATGATGCCTTCTCAGCTGACAGCTAATTATTATTTTGCAACAAATGAAAGCGGTTTCTTGATGATAACTACCAAAGGATACGGAGCTGTGATTGTTTTTCTGTGCTCCTCATTTTCGCTATTCACCTCGGTGTGTTTTTGTGTGTTGCTGTGTAGCTTGGTAACATTGATTCAGCAGCCGTCAGAGCTGGTCGGCGTCCCCCTTCATCAGCATCAGAACAAGTGTGCAGCGGTGGTGAAAAACAAGAGCACACCCACCACGCCTTCTGCACAGTTCACGCATCCACTGTTTGCCATGAGTGCGTGTTCTGCTGCTGGAGCTGCTAATTCCTCACAGGCTCAGGTAGGTCGTATGTTCTCCATTAACTGTACTTTGCAAATGTCAGATGCTAATAGCGTTCATCTTCCAGGCCTACGTAGTAGAATTGTGAAGGTTTATGTTGAAGTGTGGCTTGGTTTGGATAGACGTGAGTAGTACAATTTGTAGTTTGTTAATCTTAAGCTATCAAAATTACTCAAACTGACTGTGTGGTGGTTCAGCCGTGCAGTAACGTGCGTGAGGTAGTGAGCAGTAGCCATTGGGTGTTATAGCAGAAATGCTGACTCCCATCTGGAAGCAGTGATGGAGCACCTGGTGGGAAGGCAGGGCCAGGGTGGAGCTCAGGTGCATGCAATGTACCTGAGTGACTGGAAGGGGTGGAGCCAGGATCCACTCCTTCTCAGGCCTCATTTAAGGGCTGGCAGTGGAGGTGAGTGTGTCTTGCTGGAGATCCCTGCCTAACTGAGGCCTTCCAAAGGTAGGCATCTTTACTCCTTTGTTTCTGCTGCTGCTGCACCTGGGCTTATCCTCGTTGCTGTAGCCTGGGACTCTGCTGCTCCACTGTCATTGCTGTGTTTTCTGTCACGTTACAGTGTTGCAGGTGTCTTAGGAGAATGATACAGTAAAAGAACATAGATACAGATATCTCTTATTCTGTACCAGAGCAGGAGGAGATGTTTAACAAATAAGATTTTCTATTGTTTGTTCATTTTCTAATTCATTTTGATGAGAAAGGTGGTGTTTTGTTTTTTGTAACCTCTGAAGCAAAGGAGATGGTGTGGCACTCAGGAAATGCCAGAAGCGTATTAAAGAAGTAGAACTAAATTCAGCAGACTGATAAAATGCCTTGGTTGTGGTGTGCAGAAGTAATTGAGATTGATTTTCATACAACGTGTTGACTAATGGAGCTGAAATTTAAGATCTTCATACAAAGGTAGTGAAAACTGTCTCCATTTTATGTATATAATCCTCCTAAGCGTTCCGTTTTTGGTTTTCACAGGCCTCTGGAACATCTTGTGCTATCTTGGAATCTGCCACGCATCAAGAGATTGGGATTCCCAGAACATTCTCTTTCTGTTACCATCAGGAAATGGAATCCACTAAACAGACAGTAGGTGCTATGAATAAAGCTTTGCCTGAGGAAGTTTGGATTAAAGTTGGAGGTAAGCCATCTATCTTCATTTTAGCTTTCTCTGTCCTTCAAATCCTTTTTAATGTGCATGTGTTCTACAATGAATTTGAGTGCAGTGAATCATACCAGGTGTGGTCTTTTGAGATGCACAGTGGGCAGTGTGGAAGTAGATTAAAGAAAAAAGTTGCCAGTAATTTTAGCTATATTTACAAAAGTGTTTAGCTCTTCTGGCTGGAAGAGAGAAAACCTGAGGCTGTAAAATATCTTTGAAATTCTGGGTCTAGAGTAAGTAACTGGTTTCTTTCTACATTTTTTGACCCAAAAGTTGATATAGCAGATCCAGTTATCAAATTGAAGAACATTTGAAGGACTTCTTCAAATGCTAATTAAAGGTAGGCACGATCTCTGTATGTTCTCTGAGCAAATGGAATTAGATGGATTTTGAATCGGTGCCTTTGGGTTTAGGACACGTGTTGCTCTAAGAGTCAATCTGGGTTGGCTGTAAAGCTGCCAGGATTGTTCCACGTAAAACAACAACAAATTTTCTCTGCTCAGTATTTTCCATGACCAGTAGGAGGATTATCAATAGGTTCTTTTCCTCTTTGTTTTGCAAAGAAGACACCTTATGCAAGCAAGCGGTAAACAAACGAAGTTGCAGCCGAATAAGCCCAATGGATGCAAACATAGATCGCAAACCTCTTAGTGAGATACAAAATATGCGAGATAGCCAGAGCACTGCAGCTGCACAGGGCCCCTGGCAGTCAGCACAGTCACATTCCAGTGTGCAGGTGCAGAGTGGTACGCAGGAAGGAGTTACTCAGCGGAGAGAAAGACATAACCGCATGGAGAGAGACAGAAGGTAATTTTTCTATGAGGAGCTGCAATGCAAAGTGGTTTTTTTGGAGCCTAAGATATTGCTACTCTAATGATCCCGTCGTTTCCCAGAGTAGGAGGTGAATTTGCTGTATCTTTATTTGGAAGAAGTAGCAATGCAGGTGGTGAGGGTTTGGTGTTTATTAGAAGAAAGAGTGTGTGCCTAATTGCAGGCTGCTCTGGAGAGATGAGGTAACTAACTTGTATATAACACCACTAATATACGAACTTGCAAATACAAACCAAAGATAGCTTAAAATAAAACAAAAAGCAGTCCCCAGAGGTCATGGCTTGTATCAGATGTAATTGTCTTTTATTACTTTTTCCCTTTTCTTCCATCTTGATGACCTCTTGTTTTTGTTTGTAGGCGCAGAATCCGGATTTGTTGCGATGAACTGAATCTTCTGGTTCCGTTCTGCACTTCTGAAACTGATAAAGCAACGACCTTACAGTGGACAACTGCATTTCTGAAATATATTCAGGAAAAGCACGGCGATTCTCTGAAAGAGGTTCAAATCCAATTTCATTTTTGTAATTGATCAAATAGTGAAACACTTTTAAAGCTGTCATAACGTAGCTGAAGTGTATGGAATGTTTCTTCTGGGTGCTGTTGGTGAAGGACCACTGTGTCACTGAACTGTCCTTTATAAAGCTGTTTTATTTGACCAGCTCTCCTTGCAAAATTTCGGTTCAGTGTTGTGGTATCATGGGCTGCCTTGGGTTAGAATTTTCAGATTGAGTTTACTTATTTTTGTAGTTAGCATCATACTCAGGAATGGGGCTGCCTGTAGAATTAGGGCCTTCTTCAGTCATTCCTGTTCTTCTCCTGTCTCTTTTCTCTCTTCCCCACTTATTCACAGAGATGTTTCTAGCTGGCTGCTATGAGCCAGTGGTCACAGGATGGGATTCTGAGCTGCATCTGTGCCCACACTTAAAGTGATTGAGAGTAGGGAAGGGTTGTATGTCCCATAAGCTCCCACAGCCCTCCTTGCAGCCCAAGAGCAATTCTATAAGTGTCTTAGGAGAACAGATGGAACATGGTCCCTTGGTGCTTACTGTTAAAGGTACATTAATTTTCTTCGAGACATCAGTGAAACAATAACACAACTCTCAAGTAAATACCTCCATCAAACTTGGTTGTTGTTTCTTCTTGTATTTTGATTATTTTCTAGGAATTTGAGACCGTGTTCTGTGGCAAAACAGGCAGGAGACTGAAAGCACCCAGATCGGATTCGTTTGTAACGTGTCCAGTTCAGGAGAGCTCGCAGCATGGCTATGGAGACCAAGTAGCCTTGAATTGCCTGAGCGTGGATAAATAAGGAATGACCCAACCTGCATTTATCTCTGTTTACGTGTGGGGCTTTGGCTTATTGTGATTAATTTATTTGAGAAGCTCTGGGAGAGACTTGCAAAAACTATAACTTGTAAAAACACATAAATGGAGCTTTAAAGAAAACGTTCATCATTCCAAATGAAAATGGAAATTGACTGCCAGCAATATAAATCAGTGTTCTGTTAAAGGGGCTTTGGGACTAGAGAAAACAAGAAAATGCCATGGCAGCTAGTAATTATTTTTCTCCTTTTGCTCCTTTTCTGTTTGTGGTTCTGCTTTGGATTTTTTTCCCTTCTTTTTCCTTTAAGGTGATACAGTACAGTTAAGAATTGTTGTAGATCACCCTGTCCTGTTACTTTAATAACTACGTGCAAATATATCCTTTAAGTGTAAAAAGAAATATAAGGTACTGTAATAAAATGCCCATTTTTCTCCTTAAACGTTTGAAAGTTATGTAGGTTAATTGAATAAGTGCACAGTTCCTAAATTGCACTGCTATGATGGAGTTTGTTTGCTGTACTTTAATGCATTTGACCCCAAAGATTGATACAAAGCTATTAGCATTGTTTTTAGAGTGGTGCATTACTTTAATGCATTTCACACAGCTGTCCAACAGTTTCTTGTGTTGTTTAGTCCAAAAATGGCATATAGTAAACAGCAGATGATTTAAATGTACAAACTATCTTAATATTTAAAGACTAACATGGCTCTATTGTTGATAAGCTTCAGCATTTAGGGCAGAAGTAGAATAGTGTCTGAGCTTTATTAATTTCAGTGATAACAGATGATGCCAGCAGGTTTTGAGATACAAAAAGGTCTCCCAAAGTAAATACTGTTTGAAATCACGGATACTGACAATTTTGCAGCAATTTATTTCCAAACAATCCTAGGAAAAACAGTTTTGGAATATAGGATTCATTTTCATGTGTATAGTGACATTTATAACATCACAAAGAAAGGGTTAAAAAAAAAATCTCCTTTTATTTTTACAACAGTTCATACAAGTCTTTTCTGGCTGAACTTTAGAAGAGCATCCTTCCTTACTTGGGGTTCCTTTCACGATTACTGTGCAAATAGCTTAAGTTGAGGACATGAAAATGCTGTTAACTTCCTTTGTTATCATATGGAAATACAAAAACTCTCCCCTGTAAATTAAAATATATACATTACACCTTTTGCAGAATTGGATTGCAAGAGGCTTAGTAATTATTAGGCTGGGCAAATATCTGAGGTGCAGTCTGAATACTGGCAATAGGCAGCACATACCTCAGCTATGGTCTTAGCACAGAGTGTTAAGGTGTTACAGTACTGGATGCTTAAATGCCTTATTTCCACTGCTGTAAGCAGCAGTTAGGTGCCTGAAACCTGAACAACGTGGATGTTAGTGCACAAACCTGCATGGCTGAAGTCAGTGGAGCAGCACTGAGGAATTCAATTGACAAAGGCTCAAACGTTTGTACAGAAAAGCTGCACTAGTACAGCTTGGAGATGATGGTAAAAAGGACCACTTCCTCTTGCAGGTCTCTTCAACACAGGGAGGCAAGGAAGAAGGTGAGGTGATTTAGAAGTGAAAATTCTGGAAAAGTATTGAGGGAGGAGGAAAAAAATGCTCATAAAGCATCTTTAGTTACGGTTTTCATCTGATGCTTTCTTTTTTCATACAACTGAATTACTGTGTCAAAGTCTCCACTTAAAATAACAGAAGAAACACGTGTCCATTTATCACTAGGAAGATTTGTCTGTTTTCTTACAATGCACTGTTTATTTAAATATTCAGTCACTTCTCCACTTCTTGTACTGCTTTATGACTTTTTGGAAGTCGATGCTCCAACAGCTCCCATGCAGGCTGATGTGTCACAGATGCCTGGAGTTCCCTGAGCCCCAACAGCACCAGGAGTACCAGGATCCCCTGGAAGGCCGGGTTCACCCTGAGCTCCATCCCTCCCGTTCTTACTGATTCCAGGTACACCAGGAAGTCCTAAACAAGAAGGGGGAAAACATTCCATGTCATATTTCCTGACTTTCATTTAAAAAAAAAAAAAATTGTATCTATAACTTTCAAAGTTCTTCAGTACTTTGAGTATCTGTATATCGGACTTGTTGAATACAAGATGTTGAATAAATTTACCCTGAGTCTGCAGTCTGTGTGTTGGGTGTTTTTAGGGTACCTTTGGGTTTACTGGAATTATCTGAGTGTAGTTAAAGGTGGGTGTTTAATATTACAATGCATGTTTAATATGGTTACCACATGTCTGCTTTAACACTTGCTGATCACAGCAGAACTGGATTCCACTTTGCTGCTACTTCAGACCACGAGGGACAATAATGAATTTGTGACCTGATTTTTTTTGTAGGGTCCCTGATTCGTTTGCTGGAGGGATTCTGTGTGAGCCCAGGTCCCTCCTTAGTGGGAGGCAGTGGCACTCAGCTGCTTCAACTCATTGTGTGTCCCACAGTCATCATTAAGACTCTGAATAGGGGAAGGAGAGTGACAGTACAGAAGGCCTCGCTGACCTTAAAGATAAGGAGCTTCCTTTATAATGTGTCTGATTTCAAAATTTTCCTCATAGTGAAACAGACATTTTGTTTATTGGCAGAAACAGTTTTGGTTTTGAGCAGGCTTGGGCTGCTCTTTCTTTTATTCTTTTTCTTTCACGTGCCAAAGATAATTCATAAAACTCTAATTTCCATAATAACAAGCTTTTAGAAGCACTGCAAAATGAGCTTCTGTCTCCCTGAGGGACAACTCTATCTCTAAACCTGCATTCTGGCTGAATTATGATACAGAAATGAGACCTGATCCTTTTTAGTTCAGTTAAAATTCGCCTACTGTTGATATCACTCAACCTCATAAATAAGAGAAATACCCTCAATACTTAATATATGAAAAATATTTTCTAAAGCATATAAAAAGATGCTATTTATCTATTGATGGAATTATTTTATGGAAGAATGTGAGAGACAGTGGCATATAAATAGTCTGTTTTTATGGAAGTGAATGCAGAGCCTGATTTTAGTGCCTGTAACTTATTCATTGTGAAGATGTAATCACAACTAGAAAAGCTGCTTTAATAGGTAAGCAAGATATTCTTTCAGACTTCCTAACAGATGCTTATTAATTTGCAGAAAAGAAATTCTGAATCCTCTGATCAAATAGGCAGAGCTGTCCTTAGCTTTTACTCATGACGTTATTTGCACAGGCTTACCTTGAGGTCCCTGATCACCATCAGGCCCATCAATTCCTTGTCCAGCCGGTCCTTTATCTCCCTTTTCACCAGTGTCACCTTGAATCACAAATAAACAATTTCAGCACTGAGTTGTAAAATCAAAAAGCCTCAGGTCAGTGCTAAGATCTTAAAAGATGCAAGCAAAACCCTCCTCTAGAACTCTGCCCAAAGACTGATCCGTTCTGCTGAAATCAGTACAGCTGATCACTGATTTCAATGGCCATAAGACAGAAACTACTTGGCTCAGTCTTACCTCTGGGACCAGGATCACCAAGCTCTCCTGTTGGCCCTCTGTACCCAGGGGGACCACGAGCACCAGGATGGCCAACGCTTCCTCTAGCTCCTGGAGGACCTGGTGGACCAGCAGGGCCAGGGCGCCCCGTCATCCCAGGAGCTAAAGGCTTCCTCAGATTAGCAGCTAACTGTGCAATTTGATCTGAAAAACAGAATAACAGCACCTACAGTAAAAACTACACATCTAACACCTTCACTCTTTGCCATCTGGTCAGAAACCTGCTGGCACCTTATGCCATTTTCTGTTTCCTAAACCGCTTTGAAACACGGCAAGGATCCTGGAGAACGATAATTAAAAACCAAGTGCTCCGAAACAAGCAGTGCTGAACATAACCTCTAAAGGCAAAGCAGAAACATCAGGGAAAGAAAGACACTTGCTGGGAGCTGGCACCTGTTTGGAGTCCTGCCTTGAGGCCTGGGATGTGCCATGGTGGGGAGAGGAAAGCTAGGAGCTGAGGTTCTGAATGACACAGGTGAGGGGATGTCAGAGCTTCTGCCAGCACGTTTTGCATGTTGCCCCAGAGAATCATGCAAAAAAACTAACTTTAAGAAAATAAAAGACATCCCAAACAAGAATTTTCTGAAGTGTTTCCTTCCATTAATAGCCTACTTAAGATGAAAAAGAACAAATCTCAATAGACATCCCATGTTCGAGATCTCCTCTTCAGCCAAATACATAATTGAAGTTTGCTTTCTCCCAGCAAAACTCACCGTTTATCATTTCCCCACAGAGTTCTCTTATATGCTGTTCACTGGCCTCTTTGCCCTGCAATTAACAGAGAATTCCTGCTTTATACAAATCACATCATTGATAATAATCACTGACAGCTACGTCATTACTTGAAACTCCCTTCCAGCAGCTCAGTAAGCAGCACAGCCCCTCTTCAGAAGATGACAGCTTCAATTTAGAAGCTGTGTCACAATATAAATGGCTATAAATGATTAACACCAGCATTTCAGGGCAGCTATTGAATCTGGGCCTCACCTAACGCCAGAATGTGAGCCTGGACCAAGACAGAGCCCCGAGTAGGAGCTGTATTTTTAAATGACCCGTTTCTAACTCACTTTTGTAAAGACAACAGCAACTTACAGCCCATTCCACTGGACAGATAATGTGCATGTCAATGAGATTCATTCGCCAAGGTAAACATCTGGGGGGATTGCAATTCTGAAGCCTGCAAACCACTGATCTTTTTCCACTGCAGAACTCCTGATGCAAGACTGCTAGCTTGCCTGAACAGTTACTTTCGACTGTTCAAATGCAGGATGCCACCTTCTTTTCTGAACATGCATCCAATACCTGCAATCCTTCCATTATTTGCAGTGAACAAATGTACCACAGAAGCAGGCAATACTTACAGGAGGCCCTGGTTTGCCTGTGATGCCAGGAACACCCTGCTCCCCCTGATGGCCCATGGGCCCTGGGTGTCCTGGGATCCCTGGAGCTCCAGCTGTCCCATTGGGGCCTTGAGCACCTTTTGGACCCAGTTCTCCTCTTTTTCCTGGCTATAATAAAGAAAAATAATGCAGCACTTAGATTTTAAGGAGATGCATCACTGAAAGATACAGTAAACACATTTATAGCGAAATGTTACACGGCAGAGTCCGCAGTGCCTGACACATACCTCTCCTTTTTGGCCAGGAGGACCAAAGGGACCCTGTTAGAAAGAAAATGGAAACATGAAAGAAAGATCTTATGGAAAACGTCCATTGAAAATCCTTTCTCCCACTCTGCAAGGCCCAGGAAGCAGTGTTGACATGCACATGGCAGGCATTGGGCCACTCCAGTGAAGGGGCCAGGAACGATAACAGGACGTTGCAGACCAGATCCAGCCTCACCAGACCAGATCACCAGTGCTGAACATAAGCCCAGGCAGCCTGGAGAGTTCTGGAAATTGAGAGAAGGACAGAAAAATGTCCACCTGCCCCTCAAAATGACTACAAGTGCTGATGTGCCACTGCTGTGTGAAGGCATGGCCAGTGTTGTGGCCAGAAGGCTGTGGCTGGAAAGCTTGGCTTGCAGTCCCCTTTTTGCAGCCAGTGGTGCAGTGATGGCAGCTGGAGCACTTGCACAGTTAACACACTGATTGTATTAGTTCTTAATTCATAGTTCTGTACATTGCTCTATTACTTCAAATTCAATTCTACTGAACTTGAGGACACTTACCAGTTCTCCTTTGTCACCCGGGAGACCGTCTGCTCCAGCAATGCCCTGAAAGCACATGACAGAATTAACACAGCACCTAACAATACACTCAGGTTACTGGCAAGAAGGTTCACTCTACAACCTCAGCTCCTAAGGGAGACGGGGGCACTTAGCAGTTTATTATCCACGGCCCCCAAGAGGAAGCACTGCCCAGGAGCTGCCCTGCGGAGAGGACAAAGAGATGCCCCTTGCCACAGGTGATGCTTGATGGAATGCACTGGAAGCAACACAAACCATGGTGCATTGCTGCTCTGGAACCACTCCACGTGCTGTGCAGCAAAGCTTGCTCATTGCAAGGCAATTAGAGCAGATAATGAACAATGTTATTGTGACTGTATGGCTGGAGGGAGAAAGTTAATTCAAGACAAACAGAGGACAGGTTGGCTTTTTGCTTAGCAACACAACGGAGACCACACAGACACAAACTGGGAAACAGAACAAGCAGTACCTGTTGGAACATCACTTATTTTCTGCAAGAACAAAGTCAAGCACCGACCTAATTTACATATTCAATGAAATTTATCCCCAAAAAGCTCAGCACTGAGGTAAGTCCAGCTATGAAAGTAAACAGCAGGGAGTAAAAGATGAAATAAACGAGGCTACGAGGCTGCCAAGCCCTGGGGCTACAACGAATCCTCTTCATTGATCTCAGGGACTGCCTCAGTGAAACGCTGGTGTGCAAGGAGCTCACATGCAGCACGTCTTGTGGGTGCAAAATGAACAGCAAGAACCCAGCATTTCCAATCATGGTGTTTTCATAAGTTTCTATCAGAACAGATTACATCTCTCTCATCATCACACACACACAAAAAAAAGAGATCAGAAAGTGTTTTGTCAGTGCCTGCTGCAGACTACTCACATCCCGGGGAAGGAAAAGCAGTCTGTGCACCTTTGGCACAGTTTAAATGCCTCGTCTGCAGGAAACTCATCACAGAAAGAACAATGTCACTTACCTGGTTACCTTTGGCACCAATAACACCAGTAGGACCCTGAGAATAAGTAAAAGAAGGCCATCAGTTCAAACTGTTCTTTCCTTGTGAATTCCTGGTGTGTCACACATGCACTCCCACAGCAATGAGTCAGCCTAACTGCCAGGTAGGAGGGATCAATGCTCATTCACATTTCTCAGACATAAGAAGAGAATTAAAGCATCCTGCTGTTCTTGCAGCACACTCTGCAGCCAGCAGCTCAGGCCTCAACCCATGCATTTTATACCCTAAGAGCAACAGGAGGCATTTCAAGGCTTTAGAGCATCAGTTCTCTTGGAGATTTAGAGTCAGGTGCTCCTCCACATGCAGGTTTACAGAATGACACAGCCACAGGAATAAAATACATCCTGGTGATGAGCCATTTCGCCCTTCAGATGAGGTTTCTACTGCACATACATCAACCTGGCACCTGCAATCTGATCTTTCTTTAATAACCAAACCTGCAGATGGCCCAGCAGGAGGAACCTGAGAGGTGGACAGACGCAGAATAAGGGCACGTCATTCTGCTCAAGTCAAGAACTGAACACATTTGAAAAAGAAGGGGGAGCATTTCTACTAAGGAAGAAATAATTCTTGGCAAAACAGACAACAGCACGTGGAAATGCAGAAATTGCTATAGCTGTAACTCCTGTTTCATGTGACAGAGGCCTTATATTCTTTCCTGAACATCACCACCATGATCTATGCCTCCAACTTTCCGGAGTCCTGAGGCTTCATGGAAGTTCATGGCAATGTAACACATCTTAACCACCAAAGGGGGCCCTGAGAGGAACTCTCCCTTAGAAAAAAGCTTAAATAGAAAGGACTGATTCAAAACTGTGGAATTTCCTGCAGCCATAATTCCCAGCAGCAGGAAGAAGTGACATTCGTGGCTCTGGGGACGGCCAGTTCCACACCCAGCACCATCCTCATGTGGGTGCCTCTATCCACCAAACACAGCCAACATTCCTCAATGGGAGATGCTGCATACAGGATCTCCAGGAATTTTGACCTAAATCCTGTGAAGGAATACTTGCCTATTGCTGCTTCAGACTGCAGGCACAGGCAAGGTAAGCTGCACTAACTCCTCATGTTCTCGCACACAGGGCTGTCACCAACAGCAGAGGCACCCTGGAAAGTCACTGCAGGTGCCAGCTGTGCACACAGAGGAGAGAAGCTCCTGGGTTACCCAGACCTGATACAGCACGTTCTCCTGGAGAAAACTGTTAACAAGCTGCAGGGTTTAAGAAATAATCAACAATTACATCTCAGAGCAGCCACGCTTAACTTCAGAGCCAGAAATAAAATCTTTTTTTTTTTTTTCTTAAGCAAATGCTTTTTTCCCCTGAGCAGCTCTCCAGATAACGCTGCTCTGTGCAGGGCCTCTTTCCCCTCTGGAACATGCATTTCTCACGGCAGCAAAGCCCTGGAGGCGGGCAGGGTCACAATGCTGCTCCTGTCTCACACCTCAGGCTGCACTGAGAGCCTTCTTTAAACCCACACAAGAGGGGCCTTTGTAAAATCCATCGCTGACACAGAAAGTTCACCTTAAAGCTGGAGTCAGGGCAGCTACCCAACACACGGCTGCTGCTCTCCTGCAGGCCCTGAGCAAATGCCATTCGCTTTGCCCTGCTGCCTTCTTTTAAATGAGAAGGAATTCATTTACAGAAAAAAGTTGGATTTGTTCTGAAGTGCGGGGCCCTGCGGTGCTGTTCAGAAAGAAATCACAGAGCAAACTGTAATTAAAAATAAAATATCCTGAAACCCTAATCAAGGCATCTGAATGACAGCATGAATCTCCTTTGCTGTTGGGGGTTGAGGTGTGGGGAGGAGGAGGAGTGCATGCAAAGCAGGAGACAACAGTTGTCTATTCTGGCTTAGATGGATCCCCATCCTGCCTGGAAATAGCAGGAGTTCTTGTACTGGAAGGGAAATAGGCAGGAATAGGAGCTGAGACAGAAAAGAGGCAGATGCACGAATCCTCTGTCTGCTTGGAGCCCAGCTCAGGCATGCAGCAGCAACAGGACAGGGAGGTAGGGGGGGGACCCCATGTGCCAGCCTGCAGCTGAGTCTGCATTCACTCGGTGTGATGACATCAGCTGTTCTGTGTCAGGGACCTGCTAAGCTCTGATTTCACATCTCCCAAACAGGAAGGAGTTACAAACATCATCTCCTCCTTACCCTGTCGCCAGACTCTCCACGAATTCCAGTTGGACCAGGAAGGCCAGGTTCCCCACTGGCACCTTTAGGACCCTGTTAGGAAAACAGCAATAAAAGAGAGCTACAACCTAGAGGAACAAGAAACTCTGCATGACATCCCCAGAGCTCCTCACGTTTGAAAGCATTGCCTTGGATTTCCTCTCTCCTTTGCTCCCCAGGGACCATTTGCTTGCTGTTGGCATTGCTTTTACTGAGTGCTCAGCCAGTACAGCCTGCTCTCATTTCTGGTCAAGCACATTGATAAGGCACTCCAGCTTCTTCTTAATAAAACTACAGCCAGGATCTGGCAGCACACAGCGCCTCAGCCAGTTCTCTGGGGATAGAGAGTGATTGTAAACCAAGAAGGGGAGGAGAGGAAGGAAGAAGAGAGTCCTCCATACTACAAAAGGGAAAAGGAGCTCGCTGTTGACACCAGGTGTCCAGGTGAGGGAGGAAGCAAGGGGTCAAGCTCAAAGCCTTCTGATATAAATGCTAAACATCAGTTCCAGTAGGCAGCTTGTCCACCCTGACATTCTTTCTATTGTAGTGTGTTAATGACAGTGTTAATCCAATCCTGGCAAGTGGAAAGACATTGCTTCCCCTCATTTGCTGCCATCACACAATGGTGAGCACAATGCAGAACACAGCAGCCGACCAGAACATGATGTGTGTGAAGTGACTCTTGTCTGCACACTGACCTGGAAGCCTCGGACACCAGGGGCTCCAATGGGGCCTGGGAGACCAACGGGGCCCTGAAAAAGTAAGGAGATGATTCAGGCTCAGGTAACTCACCTGTGTCATTAAATGACTCCATCTAACAGAGAAAAGATGCAGTTTCATGCTGCAGAACACTTTCCCCAGAGGCAGTGTTGCTGAACAGCCATCACAGTGGTGCTTGTTTGTGTTTTTGCTGACACTTGTTAATATACTGTTACCATTAATAAAAATGCTTATTTGCATAAATTTGTGGTTACTCATGAATGGTAGAGATTGGTGACAGCAAAAGTTCAAAATGAGATTAATGGATAAAAAGGAAACAAAAAAGTCCATAAGAACCACTGGAAGGTCAAGTTCAACTACAATGGTAGCACCAGGTGGGGAATAAGACAGTAAATGGTTTCTCATGCACCACTGAGACCTCAGCTCTTCAGCCCAAAGTTTCACAAAGCTGTCAGTACAGAAAGCAGAAATGAAAACTGACAGAGCAGTACCTGGGTTTGTTTCACACCCACAGCAAGATAAGACTGCTGCAGTACCAGGCATGGGCAAAGAAATGTGAGAACAGATTCCCACCTGAGAAATGCTTTGGCTCTGCACCATATGTTGTGAGTGTTGGGGTCTTTTCAAGCATTGCAGTGCTGTGCCTTTCCGGCACAAGATTCCCAGCAGGGCTACCAGCTTTGTAGCACATGTTAAGCTCCTGTCACTCAGGACTGCAGTGCACAGGCTCTGCAGTGCTGCTGCTTGGATAGCTCAGGTTTTGCAGTGCATTGCTACTGGGACAGGACAACATTGCTGGTGGCAGCATGCATTGAAATAGCTTAACTGAAACTGCCTGAGGGCAATACAATTAGAGAACATGGCCATTTATTTTAGGCAGAGCCTAATTGAATGTCCTGAGGTCTCCTTTGGTACCTGGTTCACAAGCAGCACTATACTTACAGTTGCTCCTCTGGGTCCCGGCAGACCTCTATCACCAGGAATACCAACATCGCCCTGAAACAACACCAAAGTCATCCCTGGCACACTCAGGAGCAGCAAACCCACCCTTCCCAGCTCACTGAAAAGCCTCTTTACAGCGGATCCCAGGTTACTGCAATCTACTGGACCACTCTGCCTGTCTGTCTCGTTACTGAGAGCTTTCCTTGTGCAGGCAAGCAGCACATCAACTCCAGCTTCACAATTTGGTTTAAAGCACACTCAGCAAAGCTCACAATAAATGTAAACGATGGGGATACGTACGGGGATACCTGGCTCTCCAGAGGGACCTGCCTCTCCCATCTCTCCAGGACTGCCCTGCAGATGAAAAAGCAACACTCCATTAAGGACCAGTTTCAGAGAGCCATCTCTGTCCTATCTAGAGAAACAAGCTGGAAAACAGAGTCAGAAAATAAGGGGACAGCTTTAAGCTTTTACAGTTTCAGGACAAAGAAGAGAAATCCAAAGGACATTTAAAGAATGGGGGACCAATACACCCTGTGCTGGGACATAACTAGAGTAAATAGGTATTACTCTAATGCTCCATGGAAGCTTTTCCCCTGAGGTAGTGGGGGAAAGTCTCCAGAAGGAAAGATGAGATAATAATGCTAGGAAATGCTCAGTCCTTGTCAAGATGAACCTTGCTTTCAGGACCTTGACAAAAAGGGGCACACTTCTCTTCTGAGCTTCAGTAAATGGTTGGTGAGACTCCTATGCATCTAGTACATGTTCAGTGAGCCAGATACAACAGCTGTCTCAGCAAGAGCAGGGCCACCTCTGTTGCTTTACCTCCTCAGGAACACAGACACCCTCACTGAGGGTCAGCCCTCCCCCAGGGCACACCTGTAGGCACCAAACCTTTTTACTGTGCAGGTTAATGGCTTCCCCACCAGAGCCCATCTTTAGAGAGACTGACTCACTTACTGGTTCACCTTTAGAGCCTTTAATCCCTGCTCTTCCAGGCAGTCCCTGGAAAAGACAGAAGGGAAAGAAAAAAAGCAAAAAAAAAAAAAAGCAGTGTCAGAAGCAGTCAAGCTCTTAAGTGTATTTATTCTAGTCTGATTTGTCACACATGAAGCGTGCTTTGCTTGAAGCGATGGAGGAATTTACATTTCTGCAGTTTTCACCATGCAAATGATGCCTTCCATTTTCCTCTCCTCCACTGTAATAGCTGCTCTACACACACTACTCCTTAACAATTAGAGCAAAGAAGAGAAATACACAAATAACGCAACAGCAGCAACATTTTGCACGGTGGAAACCTCCCTCCTGGGGTGTTGAAAATATTTTGTAAGACAGGAAGAAAGAAAAGCTTTATCTCTATGTAAATGGTTGGAAGACTGGAGACATGAAACACTTTGCCAATGCATACCGATAGGGCAGGGATCAGCACACTTCTGAATCATGGTCAACTGTGTCCCAAATTTTACTTCCCTGCATAAGGGATGCTCATCACTAGGATGGAAAAGAGAAAATCCCTCTCTGATTTAGATTTTAAATTAGGCCAGATGGCCAGAAGCCAGGGCTTTACTGTACTACTATTTGGTGCTAGTCCAGATGCTTCCCATCCCGTTTTGTACATCGCTCCCTGTCTGTATGCTGGGGAAATCACACTTCCTCTTGCATTAAGTGGGTCCCTTTGTGAGACAGTGCACAACATGAAGCTCCCCTCTCCCAGCTACGCTGCCTTAATGCCTCAGAGGCGAGCAGCCAATGCTGCCATACTCACAGGAAGTCCGTTTGGCCCCTTCTCTCCAGGAACCCCCATACGAGCTGCATCACCCTGTGGATATCGAGAGGTTAGCAGAGAGCTTCTGCTACTGGAAAATGAACTGACACAAGGAGGAGATGCATTCCCTAACAGGCATTTGCAATCTTCTCCCTCCCCACGTGTGCAGGACCAAGAGCCCTTGTGCTCATAGGAGGTGGGTACCCACTGGACACAAGGGCTGCTGGATGCTTCCCAAGTTCCCTTGCAGCTCCCAGCCTTCATAATCCAATAATTTTCCTTCCTTGGCAGCACGTGGTGCACATTGTTGCTGTGGGATCACTATTTGAAAATCAGGCAACAAGTACCTGATAGCACTTTGTCTGTAGGCAATTAAAACAAACATTTGTCTCTGTCAGCAGCTCTTAAGAGTGCATCTCTGAAGGCCTAAAGTCAGCCAGTAGGAACCACAGAGCACAAGGACACAGTTCAGATCATACATGCAAGGCCCTTACTGTGCATCTTCCTTCCTTAGGGAATTTCCTTGGGATTAATTAATGCAAGTAATTTCCCTCTTCTTCACTAGTCACATTGTCAGAAAACTAAAAGCAAAAGCTTTCCAGCAGTGTTTTTTCCTTGACAAGAATCAGAAGCTTTGCAACACCCACGGGGCAGCAACAGAAGTCTTTCCTGCACAGTGTGTAAGTAGGACTTTACAAACCTTCTCACCATCGAGTCCAGGAGCCCCGTCCCGTCCATCCTTGCCAGGTATGCCCTACAATCACATACAGTGCAGCTTAAGGTTACAAGGCAGACATCGGGGTCACAAAACACATTTACAACAAAGAACCTTTGGGCAGTGGGATCTCCAGTTATACTAGGAAACAGGGAGATTTGTCATTAAGAGAAACGTGAGAGTCTGGTCTAACCAGGATTACACTGAAGGTTATGCAGATTCACAGAACAGAGGCTTGATAACAAAGCATTTAGGATGCAAGATTTCTCCTATTATGTTTTATCTTGTCATCTGCAAGACAGAAAGACTTACATCCTCCTTAATTGACTTACAGGTTCTCCTATGAGCCCACGAGCCCCTGGGTTTCCTTTTGGCCCGGGTCTACCCTAGAAATCAACAATAAATCCTGTGTTATCCACCCTTATAAAATCCTTATATCCACCCTTATAAATCCTGTGTTATACCCTCATGAACAATCAGTAAACCACGACAATATTCAGACTCTGTGGGGATATTTCATTCAGTTTGCACCAACTCTTGTCTTGTTCATATAGTTGTGATGTTGCCTTCAGCAAGCACCAGAAATGTGAGCCAGTGCTGGCTGCAGTGCCTGAGACAATTCCTGGTTGTTTCAAGTGACGGAGATACGAGATCAGATCCCTACCATTAATTGCTATTCACAGCGCCTGCAGTACTTTAGAAGAATGCATAAGAACAATTATCCCCTTTTTGTAGTCATAATTAGATAAAACATCAGAAAACAGCACTGAGAGCAAAACCTCCTCCAAGGCAGGATGGCCAGTTACCCCCTGTACCACGCCATCTCCCTGCAACAGCTCCTCAGCCAGTAACAAACAGGCTCTCAAATTCTACTGTGTTTTAGAAACGGACAGCGGGAAAAAAAAAAGCAAACCAAGGGGACAAGCCATAATAAAGCTGTCAGACAGACTGCTCTGAATGTCACGTCCAACGCTGAAGGGGATGGAGGTTTTACTGCACTTACAGTATCGCCTTTGGGCCCTCTGAATCCTTGAGGTCCTTTGATTCCTTGGTCTCCCTAAGACAAAAGGGGAAAAGCATTAAGAATTTTCATGGCTCTCAACGACTAATGCTTCCAGAGTGTAAACGATGAAGGGTTTTTTCTGCTGTTTGCAAGCATTAGCAGAGGTGTGAGTGTACAGTGTACACACTCCCCTAGGAGCTGGGCTGCACTTTCTGTTACATTCTGTAATTCCTGACACAGGGGTGAATTGCAACAAGGACTTTGCAAGCAATCCCTCAGGGCAGAGACACTTCCCCTTCATTTACTGAAACATTTTCTTTCACCAGAAACAGCGTAGGAGAAGAACTAATGGAAAATGCTCTCAGAGGCCATAATTCTGCAGATGAAGATCTGGTCTTGCATTTGGGCACACTGAGGCGGGTATACAGGGCTCTATCCACAGGCAAGTCTACAGAATAGGCACAAGGCACGACAGAGGGAAAGACGCTGTAAGATCTGGGTCAGGTGAAATGGCACTGCTTTAACTGGAAGGAAAAAGGTGATGGGAATAATCTGCTGGAGTTGGTATTTCTCCTTCCTGTTCGTTGGCAGTGGAAAGCTCTGCTCAGAAAGGACAAACATTAGGCTTTGGCTGTGGAAGGCAGGCCACAAAGCAGCACATACAGCTCTGCCCGGAGGTCCTGGGATTCCAGGCGGCCCTCTGAAACCGATGTCACCCTGCAAAGAAAAACACATCATTCTAATGCTGCTGTTGGCAGAGGGGAAGTAACAATATCCCTACCTCATCCCACAGTCTCAGAAAACACACAGAACCCTGAAAAGCTACCTCATATCTCTTACTATTTTGTAATACAGACTTGCAAAAAGATCCCTCTCTGGACAAGCAGGTTTTTACTCCGGATCTCCCCATCATTATGTTTGCAACACACTGATATCATTCACAGCCTCAATATCTTGCTCTCGTTCCTAAATCAATGCATGATTTTAATCAGACTCAAAACCATTCAGCCTCTAAGACAATGGTCAGGGGACACTGGTGAGCTTCCAAAGCCATGATGAGATATTGACCTCATTCTCATTGAAGAGACTCCACATCCTGAAAATCTTTGCTCATCAGCAGTTCTTTGACTCTTTTTTTTTAGAAAGAGAGACCAGAAAGAGAAATATTCATGATAGATTTCTCAGTTGTTTGTTTTTCTTCCAAGATTCTTTAGTGCTGTCAGTCCTGCAAAGGCAGCAGGTTGTCCCTGTCTGAATGTTTCAATCAACACCAGGCCTGATCCTGCCAATCCCCCAGGTATGCAGATTCATTCTGCCCTTGTTTTGTTCTGTTGTTTTGTTCAGTGGGTGTGCAGGAAAGAGGCTGCAATCTGCATCTCTATGGGTTCCCCAGTGGTCTTCATTAAAGATAAATGGGCACCTGCCATCAGGACTTCACATGGCACAAATCAATGGTGGAGGGAGAGAAATCAAAGTTTTTCTTACTCTGTCACCAGCTGGACCCATTGGACCAGGGACACCTCTTAGTCCTCTTGGGCCCTAATTAAGAAAACAAATCAGTTAAAACCCAATTGCTGTTAAAACACAAAATGATGAAACAGAATGGCACGGCGATTCATCAACACAAAAGACCTTAAGAAACTCCAGGGAATGGCAGAAAACTCAGTCTCCTATAGCACAAAAATGACCCTTCCCCCTTCAGAGATGACCTCAGAGTAAGTGACACAGTGGAGATACTCCATGTGATCAAGCTTTCAGATTGCCTGCTTTCTCCAGCCCAATTGCCAGGCTGTCAAGCCATCCCAGCACTCAGCATCAGAAAGGGGCAAAGCATCCAGGGCTCTATCAGACAGAGGCTATTTGTTTGGATGTTTCATCCAAGGTGAGGTGCCAAAACCAAGACCTGAACTAAAGCTCTGTCAATTTAATATGATTTTACTTTTATTTTTCTTCCCTTCCTCTCCCCCCCAGCAATTTTCTCATATTTTTTTTTATAGAGGCAAGAACTGCCTGTATAATGTGAAATGATCAATGGCAGCATTCAGTTTCAAAGCAAAAAGGAACCAGTCTGAAGAGCAGGTGTTACCTGCAGGCCAACGCTGCCAGGGATGCCTGGAGGACCTGGAGGGCCAGGGCTGCCCTGGAAGAGAAAAATTAATTAAGAAGAGCAGAGGCCTCATGAGTCTGCCCCCCAAAGCCAGTACCTTCCCATCCTATTCCTTCCTGAGCTCTCTTCTACCCACATTTCTGCTGCAGGTTTTGCTTCTACATCACCTGCAATTTCTTCTATGTGCAAGAACACTCCATCAGCCAGGAGTTTACCTGAATGATCAATGCATGGCTTTTTCCTGAGCTGACATCCCTGCATACGAAACAATAGCATTAACTTATGGAGCTGACCTTAACAAGAAGATTATTGGGAAGATGAATCTCCTTGAAGTAGTAGCACATAGACACACATGCAGAGCAACAGAAGCAATTAGACTTCAGGCATAACTTCCCTTTGCTGTTCAGTCATTGCCTTTCATCTCCCTGTCTCCTCAATAGAACTGTTTACTGTGGTGTTTTTAAGTGCCAAAGTCCCTCCCCACCCCTTAGATTGAAGTTTACCTTCTCTCCTTCTTTGCCTATTTCACCAGGTTCTCCTTTGTGACCAGTGTGTCCCTAGAAATAAGAGCTCAAGTTACCCCAATTCCAGTACAGTCTTGTTACAGAACTCAAATTTTATCAGATAACTTCACGACCTAAATCCACACAGTGGAAAGAACAAGGGAAATAATACATATACATGTAATTGTGAAAATTCAGGTCAGTTCTGAAGCCAGCCAGTCCTGCCCTGTTCCTATCAGTCCTGCTTGGCATCACCGTGTCAAAACGGACCTTGTGTCAGGAAATACCCAGACTTGAGTTGCATGAGGAACAGGCTACAGGTGTCCAGGTGCAATTCTCAGTTACAGTCAGTCAGCAGAACTCAGCTCCATCATTTCTGAACACGGGGCTGAGATGTTTCTGATAACCATTTTCCACATTTTTAGCCTCTCTTTTTTGTTTAAGTCATCTTTAACACCTGCATCATAGGGCTTGCTGGAGTGCATCTGCTCTTCAGAATTCACACTGGAGTAGGGGGCACAGAAAGAGAAGTTTAATGACTGAGTGTGGTTTCTTGAGGGCTGCAACCTAGAATTTAGGTACCACAACCAAGTAAACAGAAAGCTGCCCGGGGTTCACAGTGACATCTGTTTTGGGAGACACCTTTGTCACTGCAGATAGCAGTTTTCTTACCTTGAAGCCTGGCATTCCTGGAGGACCAGGAGGACCCGGTGGGCACAGAGCTGGGCACTGCAAGAAACAGGAGCACTCTGGGTTAGTGAATGCACACAGTGCATCCATGGAAGTGGGTTTCATTAGTAAAGGAAAGGGCCATGTCTGGAAGCAGGTGTGGCTCTAAATCCACTAACTCACTCATACCATAACATGTTCAGTGGCATTTCCCTACGGGAAAGGGGTCCTAAAACAGGTTCTCAGGCCAATAGCAACCCACAAAATAATGATTTCTGCTTGGTCAGTTTCACTCAGAGCATGCTTGCATGAGGAATTCTGAAGGCTGACAGCTATCCAGAAATAATGGAGAACCACAGGTCCTCAGCAAAGCAGCACAGACACCTTAGAAATCATTAGGAACATTTCTATGCATGCATTGACCCCTATTGATTTCCATGAGGCACCTCACCTAACTGAAAGAAGGGCAAGCCTTAAGGCTTTTCAGAAGGGGATGAATAGCAAATTAACCCCAATACCAACAAGCTGGTGCCTGCGGGTGTTGAGGTCTGTCTGAGCCTCTGGTGGGGACTTTAGCTTGAGTGGGAATGAATAAGAGCATAGATAAAAATTTAATGGGGGTTCCAAAAGCCTTTCTCTAAGAACTGTATTGATATGAACAGTATTTTCTTCCGCAGCTTTTATTTTATTTATTTTTTCTTTTAATAAAACTTCAGGCTACATTTATGTGACAAGAATTTAGTTTTCGGGTATATTCCACAGTGTAACTTAAATTAAAATGGCAGAAATAGTATCCTTTCCTATTAACTTCCATGCAAATTGCCATAAGGTAGTCTAAACTGACTCTGAGTTTTTTGGGGCATGCCAATTAAGAAACCAGAGATGTTGTCACAACAGCAGCTGTGAAATCTGGAAATGTCACTTCCATCACTCGTGGGCTTAACACTCCCTTCATTCCCTTGAAAGAAAGGAATCAAGGCGTTCTCATAAAGAAAGAAAGTCTAAACAAAGCATATGCCCAAAGGAGCTCCATGCCATCATCTGTAGAAATAAACAGTGCAACACGCACAACCTTTTCTCTTGCAAAGCAGGATTGGAAACAGATGCATGAAAATCTGTTCCCACTTGCCAAATGCTAAAGTTGTTTTGTAGAGGAAGGATGTATGCAAAACCTGCATTTGGGAAGCAAACTGGAAAGCAAAGATCATGTGAAAAAATCAGCGCTGATCTATCTACCTCCTTGCAAGAACACTGCAGTCTTACAAACACCTCCTCAGTCAACACTTACGCTTCCTGCAGTATAGCAGCATGCCAGACCTATGTCTGCAGGTCTGAATGGCACACGTTGACCTTCCTCCAAGTATGCCAGCAAAAATATTCTCATGCTACATCAAGACAAACCTACCTGAAGGTCCCCACCGCCTTCGGGAATGATGCCTGCAAGACCCTGAAATTCATAAAAAGTGGGCTTTAAGCATATCGAGGCAAACAAATGAAGAAACATCATCTCCAGACAACGCACCTTACAAACCCAGCTTGGCCAAATTAGCACAGGGCAGATACCTCACCACATGGTGTGAAACAGCCCCTGAACCTAGAGTGTTAGTTATGAGCTGCATGTCCTCAAAATGGACATGGCAGACCCGAACTGGAGATGCACAGATTAGTCTGGGAGAGGTCCTCGAGCCTCGGGCCATGAGGGCAGCAGTTTCAGGAGAGCAGCTGTACCTGGCCCTCTTTAGGGACTGGGGGAAGGCCAATCTGACCTTCCAAAGAAACTCAGCCAAGCTAAGTCTTGCTGGTTTCAAGACCCCTCGCTGGCACAACAAGAACACACTCCAACAATCTGGGCTCCTGTGGGAATCTGCTTGTGGCAGGGGCTCCCAGACAGGCACACATTTTATCTTCAAGAGACGTGCAAGCAGCAAACAAAACAAATAATAAACAAACAGGAAATGATCCACACAATGAAGAGCAGCTAGTGAAGTCACTGCTCTCCCTGGGGCGCAGTGTTTACAGGTTGCTGAAACTCAGCCCAGAGAGGGAGTGCTCGTGGTAATTGCAGCAAATAAAACACACACGTTCTGGCAGCAAGATGAAAATTGTAGACTCCCCATGGGAAGTTTCTCACATTCATTCACAACTCTCAACTTACGGGAGGTCCGGGTGGCCCAGGAGGCCCTGGGAATCCTGGCAGACCAGAAGGCCCCTAAAAAGAGAAAAAATATCAAGAATTTATCTTCTTAACAATTTAGACAAAAACATGAAGAGAGAGAAAGGACAGCTACCAAATGGCACTGCAGATTTGTGAATGTGAGGCAAGGTATCTCAAATAAGCCTAAATGGCACCTTTCTGTCTGCAGAGGATTCTGGTGCTATGAAGAGAATAACAGATGCGTGTGCAAGTACTGGGAGTAGGATGGAAGAATATATTCTGTATCTACACCCCTGCTTCTACTGGCTCAGTACCTCTCCTGTCCAGTGGAGCCATGGGCATCCAAAAATGATGGTATGCTTCTACAGAATGGGCTCCCTCCAATTAGACTCTTTCTGCTCAACAGCTTCTTATTGAGGGTGCTGGAAGCACATGCCAAGGGGGCAGATCTCTCTTCTCGTGGCACTGACTGCTCTTTTGCTGTTAATCACTGTTGGTAAAAGATCTGTCTGCAAGCAGCTGCACACCAAAGCACTGCACTGTTGACAAGGCTGACCCTACACAAGCTGATACAAGGGATAGCATTGCCGATGTGCATTTGTAGAGCTTGCAGTGCCTCGTGCATCATGCTTCCAGAACAGAGTAAGAAAACAGAAATGAACTTCACTCTTCTGTAGATGTGGCATTTTTGACAAGTGGGAAAAACTCACAGGAGGACCCCGAAATCCATTTCCACCTGGAAGTCCACTGGGTCCTGGAGGCCCCTGTTGAACAGAATAAAAAGTCTTACACCTTGGTGACCTTGGGTAGCTGCCAAAGCCCAGGGGCAAACAGTCTGGCTGTATTCATTTGTCTAATCACCCAGAGAATTGCCAGCCCCGCACCCATCAACTGGTTTGCCAGTGCACTTCTTCTTGCTCCACCTTCCCATACAGTTTTCTATTAGCATTGCCACACATTGCCAACATCTGCCCCACGCTGACTCAGCTCTGAGGCACTCTGAGAGCCTGCTGAACAAAAGCTGCTGCTCCAGAAATGGCCACTTCCAGCAATGCCAAGGCTGCTCTGCCTTGAATCAAGAGCAGTGATCAGCTGCATTAAGGTATGGGTACACAGAAATGGTCCACAAAGCTGCCAACTTGCAGGACTCCATATCCATCTCTTATATAGTAATTCAAACCTCTTTTTTTGAAAAAGAATCTTATTACTTACTGGAGGTCCTGGTAGTCCTTTACCCTGGAAACAACATTTGAAAGAGATCACTTAAAAAATGAACATGTAACAGGAGGAGCAGAACCTCAGAAAATGCTGCTTAATTTTAATTTTCCTTTCAGTTTTCACAGCACTCTCCTGCCCCCACCTACTGCAATTCATAATCAGAACACAGCTAGAGTCTTAATGAATCCTTTTGTTGCCTCTAGTAATTTGTATTCCCTTTACATCCTTGTTACCTACGAGACATCTCTAATTAAAGCCGCATACGGCGGTGACACGGTAGTGGGACAGGGACACTTATGAAGAAAACATTCTAACTTATTCATCTGCTTTCCCTGTCTTCAAACATTTGTTTGCTTTCTGAGACCTCATCTCAGCTGGCACCCACTGGCTGTGCTGTGATGTGAGATCCAGGCGTGGTTCAGGGAAGTGGGGGTACTGAGTCAGCTGTAGCCATCCAACAAAATGAGCATCTATGCATGTTGTGCTGCCATGTCTGGGAAGGGCTTACATCTGCTGATGGCATTCGAATCTGCATAGCAAGCTCTGCAGTTGAGCTCAGCTTCATGAAGAAACAGAGATACTGATAATTGCTGGGGAAGGGTGTTAGCTTGCATTAACTGAGTGTCTTTGTAGATGCAACAGCAGCTGTATTCAGACACCCTTAGGCTTGATGCTAAAATATGCATATACAGTTACCACTTGATTTGATGGAAAAGATTTAAGGGGGCTTTGTTTACAGAGACATCAGTTCTGGTCGTTATGAACTTAGCATGACTCTTCTATTATTCTATCAATATAGACATCAAAGCTAAACATGTCTTGCCTGTAGATACTGAGAAGTTTAACATAGCAATACGTAGTTCAAAATGAGCACAGAATAGCCAGTGATGCTTGTGCAGCAAAATAGCTTGATGCATGAAAGTCTGTTTCATTTACTTATACAACACAAAAGATGTTATCTGATGGAAGGTTTGATATGTTAGTCTTCATCCCAAGTCAGGTGACTTTATAACATCTCTGAGACTAAGAACAGGCTCCATGTCTCCAGAAAAGCTCAAATACAGACACTTAAATGCTTAAAATGATATTTTCACTCATTCAGGTTTAGATCTCTTGATCTGAGATACAAGGCTTCCCCCCCTTCTCTCAGGGCAGACTCTGGCATACAGTGATCACCACCCTTACATGCAAAGATCTGGGAGTTACTTACAGCTGGTCCAGGAGGCCCAGAAGGTCCTAATGCACCCTACAGGAATAAAACAACAAAGTGCAAATTAGCAGGTCAATCAGAAACTTCCATATCAGATAGATATCAATGTCTGCTCTGCCTGACAATACTCTGCTTGGAAACTCCAGCAGTGACGGATGGAAAGAGCACACAGCTGGGGATGCTCAACCAAATTTAGAGGTACAAGGACAGAAACCTATGGGTAATGATGATCCTGTTGTTATAAATTACTTGATTGAACAATATTCTAAGATAGTAGGGAGCTAAGCTCTGAACTTGCCCCAAAAACTTCCTCCCCCATTTGTTGGCTATGAACATCTAAACATACACAAACTGTAATTCCATTCATTGAAATATTCTCATTCATAGTACTTTCATAATGTAGGTCCAGTGATGAAATTATCTGGAATCATTTACATGATTTGGATTTGTTCTAGTGTATATTATCACATCATGCATCTCCCTGCAGGCAAAGGTTTTGATGGGGCAGCTTCTGCCTTCTCATTGGTTTCCTTGGGGAATCAATTCCCAATCTCCTTTTTGCCATTTGCATTCTTCCTCTTAAGATCACCAAATTCTAGTCAAGCTTATGTCTTAGACTCGAATCATTCCTGAAATTGCTGAAACAAAATTTGCTTAACTAAAGATGATGAGCTACTCAGCTTACTCTCAACCCCCTCTGCTGCACCGCAGAGCCTTCCTCAGCCTCTCACCAGCTGGACTGACTAAACCTGCTTTCCAAAAGTTCTCAGGATGCTCTACCAAACACATTCGGGGAATGATTTCCTGAGCTGGAAATAAGTCATATCCATCCCTAGGGCCACAGTGATACGGCAGATGGGCAGACCAGGAACCAGGAAAGCATCCCAGCACACGGCTGCTCACTGTGATCCCAAGGATGACTGCAGCCTTTCTTATAATGTTGGGCGTACCAAATGAGATTAGAAATGTTTTCACTTGTTAAATCTGAAGAGAAAGATACTGAGGACTCGAGTGCCTCATTAAGAATAGCCTTGTGAGGGGACGAGTGTAATCCAATCAAAATCAACTCTGCTGCAGATGTCAGCTCATTCATTTTTCTTGCAGGTTACTCTGGTTTTCACCCGGTCACTTTTCTCTTTAGGCTGAAGTCTTTGTACACCAGAGCCTATGGGATGAGCTGAGATCTCTCCTTGTAAAAAAAAACAGTATTTCCAGCATCTACACCCTTAAGGTAGACTCCTTAAGGGTGATTTACACCCTTAATCCTGCTCCCACACACACAGAAAAGCTGGACAGGCCCCTCCTGCTTTGCCACTGTTCTCAAAGTACCAAGTGCTGGTCTTTTCCCCCCCCTAATATCGAGGGCACGGAGTGCAGCAGTCAGTGGTGAACATTTTTGGTGCAGTCATGAATCACCGAGCCCCTGAGCAAGCTGATGTGACTCCATTAAATCTTAATGAAAAACTCTAATTTACACCTCTACTTTAATAACACTGACTCAACTCATTCTCCTGATAACAATGTTCTTTCTCTATTGAAAACAATCTTACCCTGATTTTCCATTTTAAATCCATACACTTTATGAATACACATCTATTGAGAGCAGGAAATTCTTGATTAATATGGCATTATGAGCTCATAAATAAATAATGCACAGCTAAAAACAACCACCCAGGAGCCTACTTCCATTTGCCAAACAACTTCACTCTCAGGCACTTCAGTTCAGAAATACATGTCTATTCATAACAAGGCATAGTGCTACACGTGCATTCAATCCCACAGCAGTCAATGGACATCTGCTGCTTTCAGTGATTCCCATAGGACCCAGCTGCCTTCTTAAACGTGTGCAAAAGAAAGAAAGTCAGGATAACCATGCTGCCCTTCAGGAGTGATAGGGCTTGTAGAGCTTCTTTTCTTTTTGCAGGCTTTTATTAGTCCAATTAAAATGATTTTCCAGACAGATCACTGACCTCGAAAAACTCCCATAAGTGACAACATGCCCCAAGTTTGCCCCGTGCTAACAGACTGAGTTAAGAGACAGGGGAAATTGTGTCGAATCAGAACACAAAGTTACAGTAACTCTGTGTGCTAGAACACTGTTTGTGTGCTCCTACCAAATACTTGGAGGGGAAGTTCTGGTGCCCAGGAATTATCTGCTCCATTACCCTGCTAACTCAGACTTCATAAGCTAAAGTAGGCATGGCCAAATATTACCACTGAACGTGAAACAGGGGAACAGAATCTCACGGTTTTCTGTGTGCTCCTTAACATTTCTATTTCAAAAATCAGAGCTCAGTTTCCTGAAGTCTCATCACAGTCCGAGATGCGACTCTGGGGAGACAGGTTTATCATAAGAGGAGTGCAGGATGCAAGATGTTTAGTGCAGTGCTGATGAATAGAAGCTCAGAGCTGTGGTCAGGATGCTTGGGTTCAACTTTCCCAGAGGCCAAGCTAATTTTGCCTTGCACATGGGAAAGGAAGAAGAGTGTATCAAAGACACATGGCTCTACCACTCATTGCTTTAACTAAGACAACTCAGAGTTTTGTGCTTTGTTTGAGTCTCTGGGGCAAATATATATGTATATATATATTAAAAAATATATATATATATAGATTGAGAAATACTGAACATCCTAGAGAGGTCTGCCAGCAGCACTACTTTCTTTTTTTTAACCTCTGCACGCTGCAATCTGTGTTGAGCCCATCACTGCAGCCCCAAGTTCAAGAGAACTGTGGACCAGCTCGTAGCAACCCGTAATGGCTTGTGATAGAAGAGAGGAGGATGGCCATGCTGGGTAAAATCTGTGCTGAATGGCTCACCTATGCTGTGTTCCCAGTGTCATAACAGAGGCCTACATATCTTTCTGGCCCCATTATAGATGACCTGAAGGACACCTGTAGCATCACAGACAGCCTTTTCTCCCTGTAGTGTCTTTCAGCAGAGCCATAATACATAAGAAGTAAGAAGAACCTTTTTTTTTTCTTTCTCTATCAACCAGGGAAATTTATTCCAAAGCAGCTAATAACGTCAACTGCATGGACAGCCTCAGAATTAACAAAAGGCAAAAGTTTGAACAGCTAATGTAATTATATCCATAACAGAACTGCAAAATCAGCCTGAAAATAAAGACCCAAAGAGCTTCACTTTGATAAATGCTTTAATTAAGTTTACGGATTGCTTTTTTGGATGCTCAAAATACCACAAGAGATGTTCTGCACTGGTATTTGCACTAAAACTATCCAAAGCTCATTCAAAATCATGTGAAAGAAAGATGGATCCCATGCCTTGCACCTACAGAAAAACCATTTGGGTCTTCATTTCAAAGATCTAAGCATTCTACAAGGGTTCACAGATAGATAACCCGCCATCATCAATTCCCCAGTGTCACCAATTCACAAAGGTAGGAGGAATCATCAATGTAAGCAATGACAGAGCTCCATTTCAAGGCACTGGGGATGCAATGTGGTACTCACACGGTCTCCTGGAGGCCCATTTGGGCCAGGAGGGCCATCAGTTCCCGTTAAACCCTGTGGAAATACAAGAATAAACGTAAAGACAGAGAAACACAGAAACAAGAGCTGTAGGAAACTCCTGTCACTGTCATATACCACCTGTATGTCAAACTTTCAGGAAAGCCCAACCTCTTCAGTTCCCTCTGCAGTTAAACAGAAGACCAGAAGCAAATACCCCATGCATTTTAAGTACAGATGAACACCACCAAGAGATCTTGTTGTTGGAGTTTACTGAGTTGCTGTCCCCAACTTAGCTGTAGAAGCTGCCTATGTGCTTCCTCTTAGCCTGAAGTAGAAGAAAATACGCTGGCTATGCTCTGTTATTATGGCAGTAAGTTGTTAAGTTGGGAAAACTTCACTATATACAGTCACCTGTCCAGCTCTGAACAGAAAAACCAAACAAACAAACAAAAAGGCAAGAGAGCATCAAGCTTCAAGCAAATAAGGAACACTGGATCTCCAAAATCAGGCTCAAGTGGTTTGCTTTCAAGATGCCAACAGATGTTCCTATTTCTCCAGCCCTGCCTAGCACACTTCCCAAGAGCTGCAATGTTTCATTGTAAGTGTGCTGTCCTATCAGTTCTGCATCCCAAAATCACTCTCATACTGCTTAGTTCAATCTAAAGATGCTTTCAACTCTTAAAACTTCTCCTGATTTATAAGATGTACCTTCTGTACCCACTTTACTTCTCCAGTAGATACAGAGCAAGTTGATGAGATGCAGAACAACATTCATGTATACAAAATGCTTAAACAGCTTAAGAGGAGATGGCAAAATACTCACGTCTACTCCAGGAAGGCCAGGCAGCCCAGCTTCACCAGCTGCTCCAGGCTTTCCTGGTGCACCCTTTGGTCCCTAAATCAGAAAACAGGCAATTCTTTATACCATAACAAATGAAACATGTCATGTGTTGATAAAGACTACAAGATGGAGGTTCATCTGTTGATGTGTTCATCTTACACCATATAACATAGAAGAATTACTCCCGAGAGGTGAAATTTGTCATGAACCCATATCCAAATCCTAAATGTTTCAGCGCTTTAGCTCAGTTCCCCACAACCATATTCACAGACACAGCTACCCTTAAGCTGCTCCTAATAGAAGAAAGGGACAGCATATGCAACACGAACAAAGGGACAGGACAGGTGACCCAAAGCAGAGCTACGCCACACTTTCCACCACCACGTGACAGACTGGGAGTTGAAGTAGATCTAAATTGACACCAAAAATAAACATGCATACATGGCTAGGTGCCAGTTTTTGTTACACTGGTGATGGGTGAGCTGTATTTCACGTATAGAATCATAGAATGGCCCGAATTGAAAAGGACCATTATGATCACCCTGTTTCAACCCCCATGCATGCAACCTCTAGCAACGAAACAAAAAAATTTGTTTCTCCCCAGAACCAGTGCTGAGTTATGGAAATGCTGCTGCAGATCAAGAGGAAAGGGAGCCATAAGACTGAGCTCCTGCGCATCGCTTCTTCCTAAGGGAACAAATAAGTTGGCATCAGTAAGGTAATACTTACTGGTGGGCCTGGCAAACCAGGAGGGCCCGGCTCACCCTGAGTAAAAAGAGAAAAGACATCAGTGTTAGTGATGAACTTCTCCTTTCTGTTGGCTTCTTGTGGCAGCAGTATGCACAACAGCCACGGTGCTCACAGCTCCCTCCATGCCCACTCCAAGATTTGCCATGCTCAGAATGAAGAAGGTAATGCTATGGGATCCTGTTACCTCCTAATGCAAGATGAAGCTGGATAACCCTTTTCACATTGCCAGTAGCAGTCTGGGAGGCTGAGCATGAGTGTATCACTAGAGAGTGTTCTGAACCATCCCCAACATCTGCATTTCCTTCCACATATGCTTCGGAACTGTTTGCACTTTGACTTCGCAGCAAGCGAGGCACAGAGGAAACTGGATGGTGACTACGATTTTCAAATATCTTCCATGACAAAACAGAGATGCTATGAGATCCAAGTATCCAGGACCCACTATGAAATGGTGGTGCTACCAGAAGTTTGGGACTAACAACAAGGGAAGAAAAGTCTCCTGCAACTTTCTTCATATGACTAAACCTGGACAGGAAAAGCAAATGAACAAAACGCCCAACTGATTTTAACCTAATCCCACTGCACAACCTGGATGAAATCCCAGTTTGATTAAAAAAAAATAAAGTATTTACTTTAAAAAGTGCTCTTTTTTTCTTTTTCTGATCCTAATGGAAACTGAGTTATTGCCTGGAAGATAATATTTAAAAAGCCTCTGAATTGCTCCTTCAGCTCAGCCAGCCATAATGCCATTCAGGAGCTCACACAGATCCCAGACGAGAATATCCCAGCAGATATTTGTGTTTTATTGTCAGTCTCTGTAAAAAAACAATTGCCTGCAAAAGACAGGAGCCTGCTGAAACTGGACAGTCTCAGCTCAGTTCCTTGCTTTGTCTAGAGGCAAATCGTTTTGCTCCTCCATGTCCCAGCTTAGGTCCCTGAATGAGGACTTCTACTCCCGGCTTCAGGGTAAGTACTTTAATAGTGTGAGCAGCTCATTTTTTGTGGGTGAGGAGGGGACACGGGGCACGTTGATATCCTGGAAGAGAAAAATCTGCATGGAAAAAGACTGCTTGCTAACCGAGCAAGGTTAGAAATAACCCATTCTTGCCATTGGTCTGATAATTAGGGGTTATTAGGCAGTAAACAAAGGTGTGCAATTTATAGCACAGTTCTGCATTTACTGTGTCGGCAGCTGTGAAGGCCCTGGGCTGCCCCATAGACTGGCTTTGATTTGCTCAGCCATGGATTTACACACTGTGCTGGTGGCTGATCAATGCTCAGACCAGAGGGACATTGCACAGAGGTAGCATTGTGCTCTGGCTTGATGAAGAAACCCTTTTGCTGTTCATTACCCACAGACTTTCCATAAATAGTTATCGTGATCATAGGTGGGGAAGGTCCCTTGCCAAAGGAATGAAAGGAGCAGTTCTTCTGCAATGAATGGCTTGGAAAGGCAGCATCCCTCCTTCACCACACTACATTTCCAACCCTCTGCACATTTTTTTCCCCCCTCACTCCTGTGGCAACCCATACAGCAAGGTCACAGCATTAGTAAATGCTGTTTGGGACCATCTTAGACCTTGATCCTGCCATCAAGGACCCCTGAGGGACTCTGCAGGAGCTCCAGAACTTCGGTCGGATGAATCAAAAGCCTAATAAGTGTTTATGCCCTTAATGCCAGATCACTGGGAATTAGAGGCAAAGGTTGTCAGCAAAAGGAAGTGCTCCCCTGGGTGCTTCATGAGAAGGAAGTCAGTTTACTCTTTCTTAGCAAGCCTGCATTAAAGTCAAGCCATGAGATGAAAAGTGGGGGGAAAAAAAATAAAGAGCTTGATTTTTGAACAGCGACAATTGCTTATTAGCAATTTGGGGAATTACATTCCTAGAAATAATTCACAGGAACTTGGCACTAATTCTTTTGATCACAACATGCTGTTCCTATTCTTGGGAGGGAGATTTTGTTTGGTGCTGCGTATGAAATGTGAAGCATGTTAAAGGCTGTAATTATAAAGATTTCAGAGGAACTGAATGCTGCAGCTCTCAATGAAGGAAGGAACAACAGCAGCAGCTTCTAGAAATTGTACGTATGGTGTTTATTCCAAGATATTCTGACTAACTCAGTTGTATTTTGAGCACCACTCATGGCTCGGGGCCTATGGTATGGAAGCACCGAGCACTTTGACACCACTCATCAATCTCAGAGCAACTCTTCCCACACAGCATCCTTCCAAAGCCATCTGTGAAGCTGATCCAGCTGGAGTGGCCTACAGAATTCAGACAACTTGCACATATAGGGCCAGAAGAGTTCTGACTGTGCTTTAAAAAAAGTTGCACCATTTCAGAAAAACAATGAAGTGCCTTCATTCCTTACAGAATTGACAATGCTACTCAGGCTCCATCCATTGCTGCATTTTATATGGCATAACTTTTTGGAGGGTACTGCCAGAAAAACAGTAGCCCTTCAACTGGAACGCTGCATGAGCATCCTCAACACCAGCCACAAGTCTCTTCTTTTATGCAGTTCTCTAAAGGTCTGACTGCCTGATTGAACTGCAGAAGCTATCTCTGAACAGCTGGCTTCTCACATTAACGGGGCACCTGACTCAACCTGCATCTGAATGAGGGTTGTAGTTTATGCCTGTTCGAATGGCAGACTGCTCCCATGCAGACAGAACTCCACGTCTGAAGGTGGGATTGCAAGACTTGGTGCTTCAAACTCTTTACTCAGCAGTTTGATTTATTAGGACTAAGTTCTTCACAATAATTAGATGCTAGTCTTGTCACACCTGGAACTTTCTGAAGCTTTTAGCAGTGGATAAAAAGGTGTAGATTCACTCTATAAGTGTTTCCCCAGGTTCCCATTTCCAACAACCATCAGAAGCAATGCTGATGAAGCTCCTGAATAAGGTGTAAAACATGCTGTAGAAAGGGGCAGAACAGCAGGATCACAGGGATTTGTTTCCTTCCAAATACTGTTACCTACAAGTTGGTTACAACCTGAAGGACTTTGTCCCCCCTAAATTCCTCTTTACACACAACTCCTCTGCATACAAAACCAGTCCCCATTCCACAAAGTCTTCTGGCCACAGACACCATGGGCTCCCTGCAGCTGCAAGGAATGTGTTTCCTTTGCCCTCCTCCCCTTCTGCCTTTTATCACAAAGAACAGCGGGGAGATATCAGCTCTGAACTTCACGTGCTACAAAACCAGAGTGAGATTTCCAGTAAAACAGCTTCCTTTAGTTGAAAGGACACTTCAGAGGGAATAGCTGCAAATCAATGAGGTTTTCTCTTCAGACCAGCATTGCTCACACAGCCTCTACGAAAGCTCTCCACTGCAAACAAAAAAGCTCCTTGTTCACTGCTTACCAGGGAGCTAACATATATCTTTTTTTTTTTTTCCCCTTTACATTCTTATCCAAAAGCAAATGACCTGCAGGGAGTAAATAGAGTTTTTCAAGGCTGCTAAAAGGCCCAATTGCAGTAAGCACTACTCAAAAGGAGCAACAAAACAGGAAACTGGTCTTCTGTATTTGATACCATCCTGCTGAACATTTATCTGATACTCTAACCCACTGTCACCTACAGAGCAAACAGTTCTTCTCCACCAGAGTCACAGAAGCAATGTTTAATTTCTATGGAGACAGCTATTAAAGGCAATAGGACAAGATTTTTTCCCTCTCTGTGTACCCTGGGGTACACAGCATTCTACCTACACAGGACACAGGTACACCTACAGAACTGCCCCCTGAAATAAAGGTTTTTTTTTTTCTGTTTGTGCCATTGAAAGCAACTCATGTCTGAAAACCAGTGGGCCAGATTCTGACTTTGCACATGTCAGTGTAGATTGGAGATACCGCACTGATTCTGTTGAAATAAAACATACATAAGAGCAGCATCCATGTCAAGTTTCTTCAGACTCTCCATGACCGTGGATGCTCTGAAGCACCACAAACCCCTCTGAGCTACACAACATGCAGTAACACTGACCCCTATCACATTCATGCACTCAACTTTCCACATTTTGTTCCCCCCCTCCTCTCCAGACAGCAAAAGAGAAAAGCACAGCTCTGCAGGCATAGCCGTGAGTTCTTGTACACACGCTATCTTTGTCCTGAACTCTCCTGATATGGGGTACAGATCCCACAGTGAAGAAGGTCACTCAGTGCCTCCATTCTCCATTCTAACCGTTGCAGGGCAAGATCTTCTTCTCCGCATCCATCCACCTCTGCAGCATGATCCAAAGGCTCAGGAGGACCAGCAGCACTTCTCAGCTCAGCTCGCCCTGCCTCTGCTCCACCCCCTCCCTCCCTCTGCCATGTGGCACTCACATCTATGCCGTCCTTGCCAGATGGTCCAGGGGGTCCTCGGGGTCCAGGAGGGCCTTGTGGTCCTACTCTCTGAGAGGATCGGGGGGATGAAGAGGAAGAAAGATTATTTTTCCATCAGAATGAACACACAAGCTAAATAAGAAAGCAATCATTGAGTTCCACAGCTGCTTCACCTCACAGGGCCCTGCACCATTCTGGGCAAACTTGAAGGAGCTCAAAGCAAGGCTCTGTGGAAAACATTTTTAAGTGAGCACAGCCTCAGGGTCTCTAGCTCCTTTAACAGGAAGGAGAGATGGGAAGCAAATGGGCTTGGTTGTACAGGCTGTGTTCCTCACTGCCTATAGGAATGATCCTTATGGGGTAGAGGTCCATGGAAAATAAGTGATAATGTGTAGCATTAAAAATGTATTCAGTCCCAGCCTGATGGCAGCGATGGAGACAGGAGTCTGCTGAAGTCAGAATAAGAAAGGGAAAAACGTCTCCTCTCTGAGCAGGATGTCATTTGAAAATCTGGGATTTTGGATGTGTGAGGTTGGGGGAAGGAAAGAAAGGTCTGATAAATGACTTCTGTATTGAGAGGACTCCAGAGAGCAACTTGCTTTAGCATTGGCAAAACAAAGAGCCATTGTGGAAGCAGCTCTGCTCACAGCAGATGAGGGCAGCTCTGAATTTCCAAGCCAGACTGCAAAAATTCCTTACTGGCACAACAAAAAAAAACTCACTGAGGAGTTACTTCCCCAGGCAAAAATATTAACATCATGCAGGGAAGTTGAATATAGCTTCACAAGCAAAGTGAATAAGGATTCAATACATTATTTCATAAATGTGAAGTTTTAAAAATTCGGAGGGAAAGAATAAAACATTCTCTGACTCACGGAGAACCAGATCAAGAGATCCCAGTCTCACGGGCACCTCATTGCTTCACTATGAAAAAAACCTGTTTCTCTTATAACAACTCTCCCTTTCCTAGGGCTTTATCTCTTGCAGCTCTAATTGAAAAAAACAGTACTTGCACAGAAAGTGTAAAGCAGCAGCTCCTGCACACAAGAACTAAGAAGTAAAAGCCTACTGATGCAGGTATGAAAACAGCTCCTCGCTAGGCATAGAGAGCGCATGCTTTAAATCAACTCTAATGACCTGCTATTCCCACGTTTCATTCTGTAGTTATAGCATACACACACTGCAACGTGTCTTTCTCTTAGACACTCATTTCTTGAGCATAAAACCAATGTGAAAATTCTTACCTGAGCTGACGTTGCGGCTAATAGCTGACAAAGGACGAGAAGCCCAAGAGTGGGGAATACAGTCATCGTGCCCAGGCTGTGTCTCTCCTTTTTACTCCTGGGCAGCCAAACCGTTTCTCTCCCCCTGGATCTTGGCTTACAAATGAGACTTCTCGCCTCCAGATAAACCTGCAGCTCCCACTGGAGGGGCAGTGCTCAGGAGCACAGGCAAGAGGGGCTGAGCCCAGAGGAAAGAGAAGGCTTTGCAAGGAGGTGGGAGCAGGAGGGGGAGCAGCAGGCAGTCATGAAGAGAGGCTCTCATTCATGCCCTGCTGGGCAGCCCCAGCAAGCAGGGAAGAAACATAAGGAACAACTGAACTGTAGACACACACAGGAGAAAATTCTGCATCTCCAGCTGGAAATACATCGTTCCTTAGGTCTCAGCTGAGGCACTTCTCAAAGCGCATCATCACTTCAGTGCTGGACAGATGAAAAATAACAGTCATCCACTGCCTGAGGCTACTTGAAAAAATTATTATACACGTAACGAGTGCAAGAATTACAGAGAAATGCACTTACTGCTTTGCGAGATGGTTTGTTAGCTCTGCTACAACTGTTTTTTGTTTTTCCTCGAGGGAAACCCAAAGAACGCCAGGCTTATTTCTCGAGGAAGTGATGAATCCTGACCAGAGGAGAGATGACTACAGAGACACAAGCAGGAAGAAAGAAGGAAAAATTCTTGGAACTACAAGGAATTATGGAAGAATTGCCTCTGAAATATTTGCAAGGAAGGAGCAGGGCAACAGTTGCCAAACTGATCCCCAAAAGGTGATCCCAAACAGCAGCCTGTTCACAATGAAGCAGACAGCTTCAGGTTTCCCTTTTTGAATTAAAGACAACTTCATCCAAAGCAATACTTGGAAATGGAGAGAATAAACCGTAGGACTCAGGAATAAAACAGCTAATTTGGTTATCAAGAGGAGAGCAGTAGAAAACCAAGGCTTTACAAATTTAATCCCAAGACTTCTATTTGACATCCTGATGCCAGGTTTGTATGGGCAAATAGTGCATGTCTGCCCAGCTCTCCAGCAGCCCATATTTCACCACCAGCTTTTACAGAGACTTAGAGGGCTCAAACATTTACCAGCATCTACAAGGATTTTTGGAACAGTCAGGCAGGGACAGAAAAGGAGAGTGTGCCTGTGTTCACACAGCTTAAAAATAAATTGAATGCTTGTTAGACAGCTCAAACCCCATAGGAACTTCACAGCTCATACCTTCTCCTTCAAAGAGACCAACCGATGGCAAAGCAGATCCAGCTTTCCCCAGCTCCACTCAACAGCTCTGCCATGCATTTGTTGAGTAAGATGAAGGAAGGATGACATTTTCAGCTCAAAAAGGGTTTACTGAAAAAGAGTATTATCTCATGTCCCAAAGGGAGAGGCCCTACAGCTAAAGCTTCTGTACGCACACTAGAAACTGCTCAAAAGGGAAATCCTGGTTTATTCTACAGAGCATCACTGTAGCTTTCCATCGCATACACTTGGGAGGTTCCAAAGCAACTGCAGATGGCTACAGGATGGGTTGGTAGACCAGGTCCATGGTCACATCCTGCCCTCAGAGATGAAAAACGTAAGTGGAAACTGGTATGCATTAAATACATGCTTTAATTGGTGATGTTAATGCAACAGACCATCATACAGCTCTGATTGCTGAAATACATCCTGTGAACTCACTGCAAACACCTACAGCCGAAACTCTAAACTGAACACAACAGGGAAAGGTTTGTTTTGAGCACTCCAGATTAGGGCTCACTGTGAAATCCCATTAAACAGAAGACAAACTGCACATTAGCATACAGGATTTATGATCGATGCCCCAGCTGAGCACATATTCACAATGAAATGTCATTAAATAAAATACTCAAATCTATACAAAAAAACACGATTAACAATTCTTTATGAACCTTTTATGAAAGAATTTTTACTCAATATCTTCAAGTTTTTATATCTGTAGAGCTAAGTGCATTCTTATTGGCTATTTAACACCACCTTTTCATAAGAAAGAAAATATTTTAAAAACACTGAAGCCTTTTTCCAGCACATGTGTGACCATCACCATTAAATACTAAGCTTGCAGACTTCTGTTCCCACACGTGAGGATATGATGTGCTGAAGCAGGGCCTGCAGCCTGGGGAGGAAAATCACAGATCAAGTTCCTTGAAAGATGAAGCTTCTAACAAACAAAAAGCTGTAGCAGAGAGAGGCCAAACACTGCACAGGCTGCTGCATCTGCTCAATGGTGAGGTGGGCGAGCCTCTGTCTCCTACACGAAATAAACACCTCCTAAAAACACCAAAAGTAAAACAATCTGAGCAAGCAGTAGGTCGGACTTCTCTGTTCAACAGCTGGTGAAAGCGTTTTCTCTGCTTCACGAAATGGATCCTCTGCTGTAAATCTCTCTGAGCAGAAGTGCTAAATTGTTTTGTATTCCCTCAGACTCGGTTGGACCCTGCACAAGTCAGGCAGAACAGCTAGCAGAGAGGTCAGTAGCATAAAGGCAGGAGAACAGTGGGCGAGGTCTGAAAGTAAACTGTTGATGGCTGTAAATGAATGAAGCAGACAAGCATATCCCCTCCAATTAAAGCTTCAATTAACTGACCCACAACAAAGCTCCAGCAGAAACCAGACATGCTGCACTCAAGCACGACCTCACAGTCTGACAAGCTGATCATTAATGGTAGAATGATCCTGCCACAACTGGGATGCAGGTTAGAGCTGAAACATCCAGCTTCATCCAGCAGGCCAGCAGAAAAGAGCCCCTCAGGTCACTTCAAGTAGCAACAGAATCAGAGAAAACACAACGACAGAAACATTTCTTCCATTTTAGCAATCAAGGAAGGAAGGGCTTTGCATCTGCAGTGGGTAAGTTCATGTGGAAGACTACCAAGCTCCTGAACACAGTGGAAAAAGCAGGGGAAGAGGTGCTCCAGACAGCTCTATGCAAAGTCTGAAGGTTTTTCTCTTAGAAACCCGTAGACAATTTGTATTCTCAATAAATTCAACAAGGGCTACGAAACAACAACTGCAGAGGATAAAGAAAACAAGTAGCCCAATGTTTTTGCACCACGGAGAACATTATCTGTACACAAAGGTTAATACCGGTCACAGACACATTAATATTACACATTTTATCCTGGTCTTAATTCAAACTTGTTTTCTTACAGGAGGAGAGGCAACAAAACTCTTATATGATGCAAAATCTCTCATCTCTTTACATAATATTCTCATCTCTTTCAGGCAAATGCCCCAGGAAAGAGAAACTGTGAAGGTGCTGCCTTCCAAAACAACCAAGAATTTATATGGCAATAGAAAGGTCTGGCAAATTACATCATGCTATCTTACATTAAAATTCATGTATTTATTAAATACTAAATCAAATCAAGGAAACTGATTAACATTCTCCTTCTTTAAAAAGGGACATACCAGAAGCAAAGCAAAGTGCAAAAATCCCTGTTGCTCCAAGAGAATTCTGAACATCAGATAAAAAAATAGGAACACAAACACCACAGCTTGTTGAGGAAGATGACTAATTTAAAGTTTTCCCCTGTAGGGCAATCAAGTGCTGGTTCTCAGCAGTGTCACTACTGATGACCTTATCAAAGCGAGGAAGGGTGACAATGAGACAGGGGTGAGCCTGAATCAGCCCAGTCAGTGTTTATTTTCTCCATAGCGTACAGCTTGCAGAAGTTGGCTCTCAGTAGTTAGGGCAGCACACCTCTGCTTGCTCGAGTGCTCACCGTGCTGCTCTCACACTGTTGCTATGTGCTCTTCACCAGGCTCTGCCACACGCTCAGTGCTACCCGTTCTTTGTATTGCAACCTCAGTGCTGCCTTGTTCTGCACAAGAGGATGCAACGCTCTGCTCAGGACTCCCTGGAATTTGTTCGTTGCCTGTGGCTTGCACACCTTCTTTTTCACTTGCATTTGCTGTGTTTTTATGCTGTTCTACCCCACCCGCCTCACTGTTGCCTTCCAGGAGGGTGGCGTTGCAGGGGTGCTCATCACTCTTTGCTGTGACTTGATCTGCACTTGACTCCATGCCATCACTCACTGGAGAAGTCTGAGCAGTGCTGGGAAGCACGGAGGCAGCCGAGGAGTTCAGAGCCCCACCATTTGCATTGCCCTCAGCCTTCTCATTCATCTCCTCCACAGCCGCCTTTTTCTCACTGACTTTTTCATCTTCAGTCTTAGCATTTGAAACAGACGGATGTGACTGGGCACTGTGAGCAGGTGGGGCCATGTTCAGATTGATGGCCAAGTTGAACGTTTTATTTCTTTGTGTTCTCTTATCAACTTTCCTCCTCTTTATGGCTGCATCACCAGCCTCTGGCACTGTTAAGTCTTTGGGGTTTGCATTTTCTTCTTTTGGTGTTTCTTGGTCTTTTTCTGACTGTAAGAGTGGATCCAAGGGGATTTCTGCATCAATTGCACATTCTTCCAGATTACTGGAGATTTTTTCAATGTCAGAAGGGCTTTTCAGTTGTCCGCTCTTTACGGCGTCTGCCAAGTTTGCATCCAGTTTTCTCTTCTTGCTCTCCTTTCCACAGTCATTCTCTGTTGCATCTTGCAATTCAGCCTCACTGTTGCAATCCTTCTCCTGCTGAGCAAATTGAGTTTTTTTCTCATCTTCATCATCCCCACCTTTTGAAACACATTTGCTTATCTTCTCCGTCGTGTCCTCTTCATTTGCTTCAGTTTGCAAGTCGGCAGCATCACCAGCCTTCTGTTCCTCCTCTACAGTCTGGTTCTGACCCTCTTCCACTGAATCATCAATCTTTTTACCAGGAGTTTTCTGTTCATTTTCAGCCTTTTGGTGCAACTTTGACTTGTTGGAGTGGGGTCTGTACTTCAAGAGTTTGTCATGGGGCCCCCACACAAAGCTGCCCTGAGGTCTGTAGTGCTGCCAAGCGTAGTGGACTAGTTCTCTTCTCTTCTGCTTGCTTCTGATGGTGAACAGGAAGTAGTCCAAGGCACTTCTCTTGACATTTGGTAATGTCTCATTAACAAGAGTTTCTGTTAGGAAAAACTTTACCAAGTGCACTTGATAGTGTTCATATCCCATCTCCCCCAGGCACTTCAGGATGCGAGTAATCCGTAAATTGTTGTGGCTAAACCTGAGACAAACAGATGATTAAAGTTAAGTGAAACCTTTACAATCCTGAGGTCATAATGAACCTGTGGGGCACCTGCAGAATGTTTTGTGTACTGCTGAGTAATCTATAAAAGGCTATTTCACAATGCAGATGGAAATATGAGCTTGTTCTACTTCTAATGGACTTACAGCAATTATCTGCAGCAGTACCTTCCTAACCCCTCTTGAAATTAACTCAATTACTTAAAAACTTTTTGACTTCCTGAATCACCCACCAGTAGAAAACAGCCACCATATTGGGTCATACATACAAGACCATGCAGCCCAATATCTTGTCCCTGGCTGTGGTAAGCTTTGTGTTAACAACACCTTGATTTGTCAGGTACAGAAGATTTTCTTGACTTTTTTTCCTCCTCAGACAAGTGCATGGCTGTAGCTAAATGATCAGTAGTACAAACAAACAAAGACTCACCGGTTCAAGTTTAGAAATCTTTCAGCCCAATTCTCTGCTCTCTTGAGTTCTCCAGTTTCCTGGTTCACTAGAATTATTCCATAAAATCTCAACATGAGTCGATAAGCACGTATAAACCTTTCCATAGCTTCCTCTGACTTCTTCAAGGCCTGAAAAAGAGAGACCAATGAGCACAAGTTGCAATTCCCTCATAACCTACATCCCTAAGCAGGATCTGAATGTCAAACAAAGCATAATTATATCACTCATCACTTCATGTGCTGCTGCTAGCAACTGGCAGACACACAAGACAGACAACTGCTAATCAGTGCTTGAATGAGACCTGTTCACACCAGGGCCCCAAGAAAGCAAGGGGGGGAAAAAGCCCTACACTTTAAATATAAGTCTTTTAGGGAAAATTCTAACATTCTTCAGATTTAAAAAAAAAAAGGCACATAAGCTTTACAATACCTCAATTTCTTGACACGTGAGCGGCTTCGCACGAAAATTCATCCCATGCTCACGTAAAGGAAATAGCCTAAGAAGAAAGAAGTTTTCAGCCCAGATGAGCACAGATGATATCCAACCCAGGGAACCCACTCTCTTAAAACTCAAATGATTCCAGAAACTGTGAGATCACAGGAATCTCACAGACAGTTCATATTCCTATGAACACAGAAGTAGTTAATTAGAAGACAAATCCCTTCCATAAAAGAATCGTACACAAAGGTGATAAATAACAGCACTTAAACTTTGCTTATTTCCAACCCTCACTCCAGCAAAACTTCGTTCTGCAGTACGTTAGAAGACCAAGCATTACTTTACTGAGACCTATTACCACAGCTGCACTGAGAACCTGTGTCTTCAGGATTTCCAGAGCATTGCTTCCAAAGGTACAGAGAGAAAAAAAAAGGCAAGT